ATCTGACGCTCTCGGGGTATAGGCTGTCGTCAGGGGCCCTGGAAGCGCTCGCCCCTCCTTGCCCCTCCCCCGCCGCCCCTCTAAAGGCCTCCAGCGGTGTCCGCCCCGCCTCGCCCGCAGACCTACCTCTGCGCCCCCTCCTCTGCACTCCCCGCCCAATGCCTAAACGGCCACAAGCTGCCCGCGCGTCCGGAGCCTCAGGCCACAACGGCAGCGCAGCACTTAGACCATCGTGATGTCCGTGGCCGCCACGCTGCTGGCCACTCCTTCAGCGATGCCGCGCGCCTCCCAAAGGTAGCCCTGGAAGGCGTCGCTGTTCCACCTCCCCCAGCGCTGCACGAGCGCCGTGTCCTTGAACGCCGCGTAGAGCGCCGATGCTCATCCGATCCTCAAGCCGCGGGGGCCCAGATCGTTCGGGCCCATGCCCTCCGCCACAACCGACTGCATCACCACGCGCTGGACATCTGCCCTCGGGACGAGACGCGCGTCGTCGTAGGCGAAGAGCGGGTCGTGCATCCGCGCGCCCGAGAACCGCTCTCGCGCCCATCCCTCGTAGATCTCCAGCGCCTCCACCACGCAAATGTGCTCGTCCTTCTCTGCGTCCGGCGGAGCCTCGACCCGGAAATGGTTGTGCCACTCTCCTCGGTTGCACTTGACGGTCTTGCTGGCCCGGATCTTGATCACGACCTCGTTCGCTTCCTTCCAGTCTCGCGTGGGGTCCCCGCCTGCCTTGGGGGTCACGTCCGCGCCCCGGAGACCCTTGCCGCCCGTGTAGCCGTTCTGGTCGCCGGAAACGTACTCGATGGCCCTCAGCAGGAAGAAGTAGCCCGTGGCCACCCCCGCAGGGCCGCGCCCTCCCTCGACTTCTCCGGCTGCAGCTTCCGCCTGATCCACCTCATCATGCGGGGCGTGACCGGCTTCTTGCGCTTGGTGTCGCCGTCGCGCCTCCTGAGCCCGTCGATCGCCATCCAGAGCCTACCAGCACCCTCGGTAAGGTCGCCCACGCCGAGAGCGAGGTGCCGGGACCGAACCGAGCTCAAGCACTGCTTGATGGCCCCCGCCCTCTCGCAGCCTCGACGCGCCAAGTGGATGACGAACTCCAGCAGCAGCTCCTCCTCATCCCTCCTGTTCGCGGCCGTGACCTCCCGCAGCGGGCTGATGCCCCTCGTCCGGCAGAAGAGGGTCCACCACCTCCAGCCCAGGCTGCGCGACTGAATCGCGGAGCTGGCCAGCATGTCGAGGATGAGCTCCAGCTTGGCCCTCTCCCAATCCTCGCGCGCCCTGAGGTCCGGCATAGCGAAGTAAGGGGCATGACTCCTGCTGCTGCTCCTCTTGCCTTTCCAACTGGATGCTCCCGCCTCGCGGCCCGGGCCTTCGCCAGCACCCAACGCTGCCAGAGCCCAGTCGACCCAGCCTCCCCTCTGATCCGGGTAGCCCCACACCTGCACGAGCGCCTCCAGCTCCGCCTCTGCCTCGGCCTGCTCGATGCATCCGCTCCTGCGGTCGTCGCCACCTCCGCCCCCGCGTCTACGACATGCCTCGTAGTCACGACGCCGGCCCCCCGCGACTCACTCCCGAAGTCCCGAACAAGCCCCGAGAAGGCGCAAACGCAGCCAAGGTCTCTGAACCCAAAGGCCCACCCCAGACGGCCCAAGGGGGCCCTTTTGGAATCCTCTCGGGCCGTCTGGGTGCCCATTCCGAATTTCTGGAGAGATTCGGGAAGGCCCCCGAGAGGAGAAGGCCCAGGGAGGATGGATCCCTTTGGCGGGTGGCCTCTTGAGCTTCCCTTCTGGCCCTTCTGGAGCCCTTTGGCGGGGGGGCCCGCGAGGAGGGCTGGCGTCGACGCGTTTCCCCAGTCCAACCTGGACCTGCCTTGCAAACCGATCGGCGGCGGCGCAACGTCCGTACACAGAGAACATTGCATTGGAGTGGCATGCCGAATCTATATATACATACATTCATACATACATACATACATACATACATACATACATACATACATATATATATATATATATATATATATATATATATATATATCGGCTCGCGAAAGATAAGTGGCACGCTCCTCCAATACGAGAACGCACCAACTAATGTATACAACAAGGCACAGTACATATCTTCGTCTGTACCTATTGTTGATACTTTTTGCGTATTCATGGAAACGATGTTTTCGATATGTTTCGCAATCGAATAGTTTTGCAAATAGGCCTCCTGTCTGGGCCAACCGACGACACAATGTTACTCCTCCCCCCATGGCAAGTTCAAACTATACATTACTAACTCCTTTAAGTTAGTAGTAGCTCTCCAAGGACTCTCCGTTTACCCTGCAAAACCCATGGAACTCTCCAGCGACCCTTTGGTGACACCTGGAACTCTCCAGTGGCCAGAAAAGGCCCCCTGGAGCTTTCCAGAAATCGCCCGGCAGCTGGAGCTCTCCAGGGACTCTCCGTTGATCCTCCAGGGGCCCCTGGAGCTCTCCAGCGACGCTCCGGTGGCCCCTGGAATTCTCCAGTGGCCGGCGAGGGCCCCTGAAGCCCCCCCAACCACCTCGGGCCTTCGAACCATCCAGGGACCTCCATAGAGGCCTCCTAGATGGGGTCAGAGTAGATGGGGTCGAAGGGTCGCGCCGCATCGTCGATGCATCGCCGATGCATCGGCGATGCATCGCCGACGCCAGCGACGCATCGGCGACGTCGGCGTGGGGAAACACGGGCTCAACATCGAGCCACATCGTCGATACATCGGCGATGCGGCGCGATCCTCCGACCCCATCTACTCCGACCCCACCTAGGAGGCCTAGACTCCAGGGGGGACCCTGGGGCCCCCCCCGAACCCTACAGGAACCATCAACCAAGGTGACCCTGGAACTCTCCCGAACGCTCCAGGAAACCCCGGTAGGACCCTGAAACCCTCCAGTCCTGGGGGGACATTCGAAACCTCCAGGACGATCCAGGACCCTCCGGGGAGACCTTCGAATCTCTAGCCCCCCAGGGGACCCCCGAACCCTCCACGAAACTCCGACGGAACCCTGGAACCCTCCAGAACCCTCGGGATTCCCAGAGGGACCCTGAAACCCGTCAGGAACCCCGCGGGGAACATCGAAGCCTCCAGGATTGGGGGGTCCTGAAACCTTCCCCAAGAGGATCTTGGAACCATCGAACAAAAACCTCCAGGACCCTGGGGGACCTCTAGGAACCCTTCTGGGGGACCATCGAACCCACCAGGAACCTCCATGGGGGGCCCTAAAAACCTTCAGGAACCTCTGATCTCTGGGGGTCCCTCGAACCCTCCAGGAACCCCCAAAGGGGCCCCCCAAACCCTCCAGGAAACACCACGGGGAAACCGAACCCGCCCAAACCCTCCAGGAATCCCAAGGGGGCGGAGGCCCCCCGGGGGGACCCTCGACCTTTCCACAGCATGGGGGAACCAGGAAACCCTCCAGGACCTCCCGGGGAAAGCGTCGAACGCCTCGAAAACCCTAGATCACGTTGGGAATTTCAACAGGTCTCCTGTGCCAGCTGGAACCTGCCGGGCCTCTTCCCGATGACCTCTCCGAAGTTCTTGCAAGTTACAGATTCCGAACTGAAAGTTCAACAGCCCAGCTTTGGGGAATCGCTGGTTGTTGCTTCCAGGGGGCCCCTATTGGAGCCGTCGTTGAGCGTCTTCGGAGGACCTTGAAGCGCATGTGGCCATCCAGGGCCGTCTTGGCAATATGTAGGCGTCCTCCTCAACAATTCGGGATTCCCCTTGAGGCCCGCATAGCCGACCAGGGCGTCCCAAAAGAGCCCTGTAACCGCGGAACGAAAATGTGTTGAAAGGAGGGGGCGTGGACCCACTTGTCATCGTGCGCTGGGGGAGGCCGGGTGACCCAACAAACGAGTACGACTTTTCTTATCTTATATGATGCGCCGTGCTGTGTGCTGCGCTTTGTCGAGATCTGTGATTAGTATGTTTCGCCTGAGACAGCATCACGATGCTCGATATCGTCATGATCGCCCCCTTCTGGCCTCCAGGGGCCACCAGAAGCTAGCAGTGGCGAACAGCAACGGGAAGGCGGAGATTGCACGTTGCTTCCTCCTCTCTCCCCTTCCCAGCAATCAGCCTCAATATCCTCCTCCTTCCCACCTTCTCCTCCTCTGCCACTTCCTCCCCCGCCCTCTCCTCCCGTTTCTGGCGACACTTTCCACGGCCGCCCTCGTCCTTGTCCCTCTCTTGCATAACGGCCACTTAGCCATTCCCCGAATTGCCACACGCTTGAGCGGACTGCCTCTGCCTCGCCGCCGACGAAAAAAAAAATTCAGGCGGCATCCCACCGTGGTCACGCCTCCCGGACGCACGCGTGCGCTGGCCTCGCGCCGAATCACGGCGAACTGCAGCGCGGCGCTGGCATCATGCCAGAGGGCCGCAGCCAGGGCGGGCGACCTAGCTGTTCTGGCCGCTCCTTGGGTCGGGGCGACTCGCGGGATCTTAGCCTGGCACCCAGATGCTGCTGCCGCGGCAGCAGCATTTAAAACGAACATGCTAGATGGAAGTACCAGCACAAGTGACCATGAGCCGCCCTCGAAACTATGAGCGCTCGAGGAGTCGAGGGTCCAAACTCCTGCTTCTCCTGCGGCAGCCGCGTGCCTGTTCCACACCGGCGCTATGTGACGAGGGGCTGCCAGACTCCCCCGCTGCCCCTCCAAGAGGACAGCTTCCCCAAAAGGGACACGCTGTCTACGATGGCAAACGCTCCCAGGGGTGGGGGGGGGTCTGCTGGCCAGGGCCTGCAGACTGCAGCATACGTGGGACCAGGTCCGCGCACACGACGCGCCAACCCTAGCGCCGAGTCCTCTTCCTCCTCCTCCTCCTCCTCCTCCTCCTCCTACATCTCCTCCTGCATCTCCTCCTCCTACATCTCCTCCTCCTCCTCCTCCTCCTCCTCCTCCTCCTCCTCCTCCTCCTCCTCCTCCTCCTCCCCCCTGAGCCAATTCCCCTGGAGCGGCGGAATGGCCAGCCTCCTTGAGCTGCTTCGTGAAGGCCGATGTCATGGACTGCGCCTCGGCCTCGCCAATGTTGCCGATCACCGATGCGGTGAGGACCATGGGCCTGTGCTGCCATCATCCCCGTCCTCCACCTGATCCCCCCTCTGCAGCTCAGGTGCCTCTGTCTAGCGCGCAGCAATCGACGGCAGTGGTAGGCGTGATACCACTGCAAGACGTCACACAATGACTTGAGGATGGCGCGCAGCCAGGCAGAAGGGCGACACCTTAGAGTCACAACTGTTTCGAAAGGAGCACGTCGAGACATAAACAAGATATACACGTGAGGAGCATCGTCTTTGAGCGCCCAAAACCAATACCCAATACGTCGGACCCTCAATTTCTCCCAGGTGAGGAAAAGATGAGATGAGATGAGGGGATGATCGGCAATGGAGAACGAGAGGGAGAGAGGAGCGACAGGAGGGAAATGAGAGAGAAGTGGTGAGGGAGAGGAGAATGGGGACGAGATGGGGAACGGGAAGACGAGGCAGGAACAGACGGAGAAAGAGGAGGGGAGACGAGAGGACAGGGAGTTGCAATGAGGAGGGGGTGGTGAGGGGAGAGAAGAGTGAAGGGAGCAAAGGTAAGTGGAGGAAAGGGACGCAAAGATTGGAAGGACAAAAGGACGCGGAATGATGGAGTGGAGTGGAGTGGAGTGGAGTGGAGTGGAGTGGAGTGGATTGAAGTGGAGTGGAGTGGGTGTGGAGGAGGAGGAGGAGGAGGAGGAGGAGGAGGAGGAGAGGAAGCGAGATCGAGGGAGAGGGGAGGGTAAGCGAGGATGCTGGGAAAAAGCCAGGGGGGTGACGCTGGCCCACGTCGCGATGACGCCTTCCCCCCCCCCCCCCCCCCCCCCCGCAAGTGCTGTATCCTTGGCACCCGCATCCGCCCGTCTCTGGCAGATGCCCCCGCGCTTCTCCTCCCGGCATCCGCCACCTCCTCCTCCCGAACGCCTCAGCTGCTGCCGATGCTGCGCTGTCGCACCCCGACCAGCCCACGCCATTACAAGTGTTCGAGTACCCTACGGCTGCATCTACATATCAGAGGTTGGGAGACGAGGTCGGAACGAAACGGAGATGCCCCACCAGGAAATCGTTTTCGACTTCGTGCTCATGTCGTCCGTGCGGGCGAGGCAAAGCTGCGTGCGCGAACGAGAGGAGTGATCTCTCTGTTGCTTGGGCGAAGTCAGGGCACATGTTCCTCCACCCCGGCGGATGGCGGATGTTGCCTCGCGGTGGTCCACCGGTTGTCCCACGGTCGTCCCGCGGTTGCTCCGATGGATGTCCCGTCCCGGTGGCTGTCCCGATCGATGGATCGATTGATAGTGCTCGTGAGATCGCTGAGTAGATCGTGAGACCGGTCAGTGCATGTACTGCCGCCGTGCCTCTGGGCACGGAGTGGGCGCGTCCTCAAGCCCCGGGCCCAATCCTCTGGGCCTCGGTCCTCGCTCCGGGTCTTTGACGGGCCCGGACCCGAGGTTCTCAGGTCTCTCGGGGCTTGTCGCGTCTCGTCGGATGCGTGTCGCGTCGTCTCGCGTTTTCTTTTGGCCCAAAGGGCCCCAAGAGGGCCCCAAGATGGGTCCAGAGGGTCCCCAAGAGGATCCCCTGACGGCCCAAATGGCCCAAAACGGCCCCAAGAAGATCCTCTGACGGCCGAACGATCATGTCTAAGATGCCCGAGATGGCCCTGAGACGGCCGAAAGGGCATCCAAGACGCCCAAACAGGCCTCCGGCAGCCTAAGTTACCGAGAGGGCCCCAAGAGGGAAACATCAGTGATGTTCCGTTGCTTGTTTGAAAGATGTTGACGTTCTCGCCATTTCGGTTCCCCGACACACCACGACGGCCCACGAGGCCGCCAAGATCGCCTTAAGACTGCCCCGGACTCTCCAAAGAGGGCCCCGAAACGGCACAGGAGGGCGCCAAGACGGCCCAAGAAGCGCCAAAAGACGGCCCAAGAGGGCCTAAAGACGGCTGCAAGAGTGGAACCCGAACGGACATTTCGAGGTCTCGGCCTCGAGGGGCCATCAGGAGGCCCCAAGAGCGCCCGAAGAAGCCCCGAGAGACCCCAAGAAGAAAAGAATTGAGGTCAAGAACTGCAAGTGAAGAGGCCCCCGGGAGCGCATGACCCCAAACCCTGGCAAGGTGGCGGGATGGGCCAAATGTTGGGTTTTGCTTACGCATAGCTTACGCATATTCATTGCTCTCTCATTCTATTCTTTCTCTATCACTATATATTTATATACATATATACATGCATACGTGTGTGGATATATGTTTGTATTTGTATATACACATACATACATACAACCATACAACCATACATACATACATACATACATACATACATACATACATACATACATACATACATACATACATACATACATACATACATAAATACATAACTACATACATACATACATACATACATACATACATACATACATACATACATACATACATACATGCATGCATGCATGCATGCATGCATACACACATACATACATACATACATACATACATACATACATACATACATACATACATACATACATACATACATACATGCATGCATGCATACATACATACATACATGCATACACACACATACACACATACACACATACATACATACATACATACATACATACATACATACATACATACATACATACATACATACATACATATATACATCCATACATACATACATACATACATACATACATACATACATACATGCAGCCTGCCTGTATCATGAGGATGCGCGACAAGGATGCAAGTGCCTTGGACGGCCATTTCAAAACTTTTCGAGCGGGACGCGGCCAACGACAGTGGCTGAGGATGCACCGAGGAAGTAAGAATTTCAGGGCACCTTTTCAGAGCACGGTCCATCATTACGGTGTGGGCTGACTGTAAAATGAAAGCATGCATGCATGTACTTCGAAATGCATATCAAATTATGCCGTGCACATATATAATGTAGATGTAAGATCTATGATATTTGATGTGTGTATATATATGTATATATATATGAGTATGCGTGCATCTCCTCCGATGCGGTCGGCGTGACGGGGACGCTGTTCCGTTTGACTCGTCGCCGTGGTGGTCGTGGTCGTGGTCGTGGTCGTGGTCGTGGTCGTGGTCGCCGTCGCGCGTTGGTGCTCTTCACGGTATCGGTGCCTGGACCATGTCCTGCATGACGCGGACAACATGCGGCACAAAGTGGTGAGCCTCGGGACGGTGGTATTTGACTTGGTTCCCGTGCGACTTGGCACGCACACGGCGCACCATGCGAAATTGGCTGCGACGGTCGTTGACGCGTTTCCCGCGCAAAGACGAGGAAGGACATCAGTAGGAGGGCAAAAAAGGGGGACGAGGAGGAGGAAATTGAGGCTGAACGACCCCTGGTCGAAAATCTGGAAATCTGGACAACCCCCATGGCAAACCGCCTGGACAACCCACTCTGGTGTTCTGATTTATGGTTCGGCCCCGTCTTCGGTTTACGCCCGACACGACATGCCGCAGCTGGCGAATGTTGCCCAACGGTATCAGCGGAGCAGCGAAGATGCTAGACTGCGGCCTGCCGTCCAAAGATCCACTTGGATCTCGTTGCGCGGAATCCAGGTCCCGCCAGACCATGTGCAAACTAACGGCGACCAACTCGTTCACGCGCGCAGCCACCAGGATTACCTTGAGCCCGAGCATGCAATCCCACGCTCCAGTTCCCGAGTGTATGCGGCCTGGCAAGCGATGCCGCGGGCGAGAAACTTCTCGGCAAGCGCAATCGACGCGAATGGCCCACTCGAGCAATCCGAACTGGGTTTCCTTTTGGACGAGCGGGCAGCAGGCGTGGGGCGCAGCCGCGGGCACCTGGCACGTCACTGGTCACTCAGGGGCCTGCGGGAGCGGCGCGCAACGATGCGCAGCGAAGCACGCAAAACCTGCCACGCTGCCCCCAGCGAAGCGCAATTCGCCGAGAAAGAGTAGCGCCTGCCCGCGCGCTGGCAGCCGCTCATTCATGCACACCTCAGCACTGGCACACTCCGAATGGGGGCGCAACGTGGGCAAGGCCACGTGCGCCGCAAGCGAACGGCCACGCTTGGAGTGCGCTTCCTGGCATGCCTTCTGACAGCCCAGGCATCCCCACTGGCGACACTGGCCAGACCACCTCGCGCGAGGCATCTCGGAACCCATAGTTACAAGATATGTCTTGAAACGGACTGGCCAGACCACATCGCGCGAGGCATCCCATAACCCAGAGTTGCGAGGATGTCTCATACGAAACTGATTGGAACACCTCTCGCGCGGCATCTCCGAGCCCAGAATTGCCAGAATATCTCTGGCGACTCGGGCCAGACCACCTCACGAGCGGCAGTTCGGAGACCGAGGTTGCGATTGCGAGGATTTCTCAAGCGAAACTGGCCGAACCACTGAGATGAAGGCAACGCGGTGCGTGCGCGCGCTGCATCTCCGAGCCCAGAGACAAAAGGACGTCTCAGACGCAAATGGCTGGATCACCTTGTGCGCGGCATGTCGCAGACGAACCCGGCCAGATCACCTCAGGCAAGTCATATCGTCATATCGGAGCCCAGATATCGGAAATGTGAGGACGTCTCAGGCGACACCTGTCGGGCACGCTACATCTCCGAGCCCAGGCATGCGAAGGAGTCCCAAGCGAAACTGGCCAGACCATCTCTCGCGCAACATCTGACGACGTCTCAGAAGGAACGCTCCGACCGCCTCAGGTCAGGGAATGTTTGAGCCCAGAGCTGCGAGGCCGGCTCAGGCGAAATTGGCCGGAAAATGTCACGCGGCATCTCTGAACTTAGAGTTGCCACCAAACTGTCTCTGGCGAAACTGGCTGGACAACTTCGCGCGCTGCATCTCCGAGCCCAAGTGCCTCTGGCGGAACTTGTTGGACCACCTCGCACGCCGCATCTCCGAGCCCAGAATTGCGAGAATGTGTCACGCCAAACTGGCAAGACCACCTCAGTTCAGGGCATCTCCGAACCCAGAGTTGCGAAGACATCTTTGGCGAAACTGGCCAGACCGCCCCCGATCTTGGCGGATGTCTCTGAGCGCTGGCCCCCTTGGCAACAACTGGCTTCCATTGCAACGGACCCCAGTCAGCACAGCTGTTGGGGCAGCGCGGTAAAGGAGGGCGTGCGACCGGGAGCGGACGGGAGACACGAAAGACGAGGAACGGACAGGCGGGGAAGGAGGAAAGAGAGGCGACATTTCCAACTGGGCTTCCCTGGTTGTGCCATGCTTTTGATAATATGTGTGAGAATGACACGTGCACGTGCTGGCAAAACAACGTGGCCCAAACGACCACTTGGACACCCCCGCAAATATTCGGACAACACCCCCGGAAAATCCCCCTGGGACAAACCTCCCCAGGATTTCTTCCATTAGATATAGCAACAGCGTAACAGCGGCACTCCGAAGCAGACAAACAATGCAATGCCAAAAACACATGCAATGCAAAACAAAATGGGTTGCTGTCTCCGTGGTTGGCGCTGCGCGCTTCGTACCACACTGGACCTCCTCAAACCAGATTCGGCTCGCACTGGGAATCGTAATCATAAGCTCAGGCTCTAGCAAGGAAGCAACGGCACTCCGAATTTCAAGCTCAAGGCTGGAGCTTCAAGCTCCCTCTTTTGAAGATTATCGTCCCGCCGTGCGCTACACTGCTAAGAACTTTATCCGCCACCGTGTCTCTGGGCACAGAGTGGGCGTGTCCTCAGGTCCATTGCCCAATCCCCTGAGCCTCAGTCCTCACTCCTGCGGAGTCTCGTAGGAGCCCGAAGCCCAAATTCTAAATCTTCTTGGGCTTCCTGCGGTTCCCCTGGGGCTTGCCGCGTCTTGTCGCGCGACATGTTCGGGCAAAAAGGGCCCTAAGACGGGCCAACAGGGCTCGCCCCAGGACGCTCCAGATCCCCCCCAGACGGCCTAACAGGCCGCCAAGACGCCCAAAGAGGCCTCCAAGATGCCTCCCAAGAGGGCCCCACAAGGCCAAAATCATTGAGATTCCTTAGGTGTTTGAAAAATGTCGACGTTGTCGCCATTTCGGCGTCCCGACGCTCGCAGACGACCCTAGAGGCACCCAAAACCGTCCCAGAACGGCCCAGGAGGGTTCCAAGACAGGCCCAGAGGCGCCCAAAACAGCTCAAGAGAGCCCCAAGACGGCCCCAAAAGGGGCCCCAAAGAGAGACCACAAACGGAAAATCCAAACCTTCCGCCCCAAAAAGTCCCCAGGAGGCCCCACGAGGCGCCCAGGAGGCCCCCAGAGGCTCCCAAGAAGCCCCGAACAAGTTTCAAGATCCCCCGAAGAGGCCAGCCAGGCCCCCAGAGGCCCTGAAACGGCACCCCAAAGGCGTCCAAATTGCTTCCAAGAGGCCCCCGAGAGGCCTCCCACGAAATCCCAACGAACATCCAAGAAGCTTCATACCCACAACCCAGGCACGGTGGCGGTATGGGCCGAAGGCCATTAGATAATAATAAAGCTGAAGCTCTGGTAGCGAACCAGCGGCACTCCTAAGCTCAAGCTCAAAGGTGAAATTTCATTGCTCTTTTGAAGCTTGGCGTCCCGCCGTGCGCTCCACTGATAAGAAGTGCATCAATCTCCTCATCCTGCTCCTCCTGCTCCTCCTGCTCCTCCTCCTCCTCCTCCTCCTCCTCCTCCTCCTCCTCCTCCCCCTCATCCATGTCAACATCCATCCTCCTCTCTCGTCCTGTCAACCGTTTTCCTCATCCCGCTCCTCCTGTTGTTTGCCTCCTCCTCCTCCTCCTCCTCCTCCTCCTCCTCCTCCTCCTCCTCCTCCTCCCAGTCTCATCCCTGCACACTCTCATTCACTCTCCTCCCCGCCGCAGCTCCTCCATCCCTCCCTCCCTCATCATCCACACTCTTTGCTGGTGATCTTCCTCCTCACTCCTCTCTCGTCCCCCTCAAACTGCCCCCTCTGACGAGCCACCCTGCCCTTCCGAGAGCACAGCAGCTCGTTGACTGACTTCTTCGCATTTTCCACAGTGACTTCCTGCGGAAGTGACAATGCTAGAACAAGCAATAAATGGTGCTGACAAGATAGCAGAACCGACTGAAATCGGTAGGGGGGACGAGGCGGGGAAGTGGGCGGCGGCGGAAGAGAATGATGTTACACCTCAGGCTCGGAAGCTGCATAAAGAATTCAGCCTTATAAACCAATGGAAGTCGTGGGCACCACCTCCCTTGAAAACAATATGGAACTCATGATATGTGAAAAAAAAGGGTCTCGATCCGCACCGTCGCGTGGAACACGCACGCCTACAATGGCCCCGCGCAGACCGCGCAGTCACTCCTGGCTGCGAACCAGGGTGGAGCTTTCACTTGTTTCCCAGCAGATCGCTCACCGAATACGTCTTTGTCCCCTTCCGGTTGAGCCAACTGCCATTGAGGCCGTGAGCCCTACCACGGCGACGAGGTCACCAGATCCCATGGAGGCGTCTAATGGAAGAGAGCTTTTCTAAAAAAGTGCAAATTTGCTTTTCAAGCGGCAGAGCATTTGTTCAAATAGCACCAACAAACATTATTACATGGACACGAGCACATTACTTGTCAACGCCGAGTAGTAATTGAATGTTCGTTCCCGAAAGGCGGATCTCAGACATATACATTATTTGCTGGAACTGTCTCTGTGCTTCGCTCAGCCCGATCTGCTCTCAGAAAAAAAACCTTCGTCGACCCTCCGCCCTGTGGCCCTAAAAGAGGAATGCGCGCAGCGGCGGCCATTATATCCGACGCCCAACTTGTTCGCACTGCACTGATGCCCACTCGCAACACCAACGGGGACTTGCGAAAGACAATCAAGAACCGGGCAACAAAAACACAAGGTGCACCACCTCCGAATCAAGAGACGGCCTGAACATCAATGAGGCAAGATACTTCTACACTCTCGAGGGCGAGGGCTGGGCCTCGGACTCGACTGAAGATGTATGCTTGTAGCAGACGCTTGTTTCAAAAGTGACGCACCTCACCTGGAAGCACCCCGCCCCCGCCATGTTCGTGCGACACCACAAAAGCGTCTCGCGATCCTGGTAACGCAACTGCCTGGTAAGCACATGCACGGCCGCGACATGCGACTCACTGAACCCTGTCAGCCGCGCGACAGCTCAGCCTGATCGCCGACACATGTCGCCACGGACACGGAGGATGCAGTACAAGGTGAAAGGGTGGACGAGAGCAGAAACGAGGCCGAACAATTACCCAAGGACAGTGACCAGCCAACGTCCAACATACACCCAGATATACAACGTGGGAGTGGCTGCAGATAGCGCATCCCGACCGAGAGCACGCCATCTTGCCCGATCTTGAGCAATCTTGATCGGTCTTGCAGTACGCTCAAAACCACGAGCGACCTTGCGCTATCTCGAGCCAGCCAGGAGGCTATCTTGGGCTATTCGGCGGTGGACAGGCCTCCCTTTAGTCTTTAGTGAAAACGGCCTATGACCGAAACCGACGGACCTGGACCCGCAAAAATGACGACCGCGACGCCCTCTCGCGAACCGAAAACGGCCGATTCGCTACTCGACGTGTCAGGGTAGGAGGTCTATCAACCTCCGAGCTATCTCTGACCGCTCGCGGAGCGCCCCGTCCAGTCCCAGCAGTGGGGGGCTAAGAGGAGCGGCGAAGACCCCCCCCACGACGCAACCTATTTAGCACGCGTCCACCCGCCGTCCCAACACGTCAGCAGCACAAGAGTCTCAGCATGTCCCCCAGGAGCGTCACTTGGAAGCTGGGCGAGGGCCAGAAATCCGTGGCTGCTAAAACGGTCTTCCCGGAAGGAAAAAACATATTCCCAGAATCAAGCTCAGCGCATTAAACAATAAATAAAAGGGCTGCTTCCTGGAAGAAAAACACATAATCCCGGAGCTCCGTTTGGGCAGCCACGGATTTGCCGGCCTGCGCCTGGCTTCTGAGTCACCAGGCACCCCCGAGGCCCAAGCGTGACAGGTGCGGGGATCGTTTTCTGACAGGTATGGCGTGCCTGCGCGAAGCAGGCAATATGCCGGCATCCCCGCCACCCCTGCTGAAATGCAGAACGACAGGCATGGTGGGCCTGCATGCAACAGAAAGGGTGCTGGCACCCCCGCTTGCCCTGTCAAAACCAACGCAAAGTGATCGCGCGATGCCCGTGCATGATCCGAATGTCGTCAGAAAAACGATGTGCCTCGTCGGTTGACACGCATGGTTGGCCTGCGAGCAGCAAGCAATATGCCGGCACCACTGCAGCCCCTGCCAAGAACCAATGCGAAATGGTCGCGGGGCGCCCGCGCATGATCCAGATTTGGAGGCAAAATGTATGTTGCATCAATGCTTGGTCATGATGGTCGGTCTGCGCGCAGCACGCAATATGTTGGCCCCCCTGCCACCCCTGTCAAAAACCAATCCGACATGATCGCGGGGCGCCCGCGCATGCCCCAGACGTGGATGCAAAGTGTATTCTGCACTCCTTTTATGGAAAAAGATGGGGTGGGGAGGTCGGCTTGGGTCAAGGTCGGCTGCAGGTCGTGTGGGGGAGGGGATGTTTCATAGTAGGGATCAGTGATCACCCCGCTCCTCCTCGTCCTCCTCCTCCTCCTCCTCCTCCTCCTCCTCCTCCTCTTGATCCTCCACTTGATCCTCCTCCTCCTCCTCCTCCTCCTCCTCCTCCTCCTCGCCTCCTCCGACTCTCCGCCGGCTCCGCCACTCTCCTGCCCTGCCCCCTCCTCCTCATACCTGGCCCACCACGGCAGCACGCAATCTTTGCCCCGGGCGCGCCGATGGGACGCAGTCGGCGGCTCACAAAAGATGCGGCCGGCGCTGGAAAGCTGGCGTGCACCATCGAATCTCCGACGAGCACGCCATCCCCGCGAGGCGATCCCCCCGCGAGGGCCCCTTCTGTGCGCGCTGTCCCCCTGCCAGGGCCTCGGCGGGTGCACGCCATCCCCAAGGTGGGGGCCAGCGTGTGATCAGTGGGCTGGCAGCGCCACATCGCACGCTGCCTTTCCAACGCCAACCGTACGGGGGCGGGATGCGCTCGGGCGCGATCCCACGGATACGCGGTCGCATGAACACGTTCCGCGCGGGGCATCCGCAAGAAGGCGTCCCGTCTTCGCCCGAGCGCGGCCCAAGGGCCCAGCCCGTTGGGCCGTGGATGTGCGCAATCATGTCCCCCGCTTCGACATTGGACGCCCGAAACGGGCACAGGAAAAATAACTACGATGCCCAACAGCAAATGTTGTCCGCTGTTGGGAAGGCGGCCTTCTGTCTCAAATGGGCAACGTCATCTGCGACACCGACAGCGAGTCCTGTTTCAAATGCACATGGACATGCTGTCAGCCTTCGTACCCCACTTTTCCGTACCCATTTCGATCGTCCCGAGCCCTGGGGCCAGGCCCGCGAGGCCGTGGCTGTGAATTTGACCCCAACACTCGACTTGGCAGCGCGCAGAAGGGGGTTGGGGGGGGAGGCTTCTTAGAAGGAACCTGCTTCTCAGAAGGCGCCGGCCTTACATTTGAAGAGAAGGCCCGCGCCTTCTGAGAAGCAGGGGTGCTTCTCAGACGCCTCCCCCCCTCACCCTACCCCCATTCTGCGCGTGGCCGAGTGGATGTGAATATGGCCCCCGCACTCGACGGAGGAAGGGAGAAACTGCACGGCAAACCGAGGAGGCGCGCCGAGACCAGCAGTGGGAGGCCAGGCCGGCGGCCGGCACAGGGGAAGCGGAGCGACGAGCAGAAAACTGGTCTTGCGCGACGAACAAGATGACACAGCAACCTTGCGCGACGGCGTCCTCCACGAGCCGACGTCCGCCAGACCCCGCAGATGGCCGTCGCATTTTGGGTGGGCGGGTATACGCAAAACAAAAAATGCAAGGCGTACGGGTCTTTGAATATGGAAACGATTGGGATGGAACTGTTGGTCGTTGCTACACCCTGCGGTTCGCTCGAACCATCGAAGCGTCGCGGCAACTGGCGTGTAGCTGGAGGACACGAGCGAAACAACCGCATGGGTGATCATGGTCCGTATCGCGACAAAAACGACGCGGGCCCTTGCCCGCCCTCCCCCCCCCCGCCCACACACACACACACACACACGCACACGCATACGCACACACAGCGGAAAAAAACAAATTGCGTTGTTCTTGGCGGCCGCGCGTGCGGCGACGCGGCGCTGGCGACATCTCGACCAGGTCCCATACCACCTCCACGCACACGATCCGAAGACCACTGATTTAAAACATGCAGGTGCTGACACAAACGCACATTTTATCCGCCGCCGCCGCTACCAACAAGTCAATTGCCACCCGAGGCCTGGAACTGCAGTAAACCCCCGCAGTGAGCACTGGACAACTTCAGATAAGCAACGAGCTGAAACGAGCAGGTTGCAACAAAGCGCCACGAGTTTTGGCTCTCTGGGGAAACATTAAGATCAACAGGCCCAGGAACTAAGCAACACGAGCGCCAACACGCACACTCGACCAGGATAGTAAGGGTGCGCGGTAAGGATGCAAAGGCCTTGGAACGCCATGTGGACGTTTTCTGTGCGGAACGCAGCAGAATGCCGAAGGATGCCGAAAATTGGAGGGACAAGGATGCAAAGGGTAGCCTTGGAAAAATTCCCCATGCGGAATATCATGGTTGACTGTATTCCTCCGACGACGAATCACGCGCTCAAGTGTTGCACGGCGGCTGGCACGCGCACGCATTTGTTCGTCAGCGGCGAGGCGGACACCTCCGCTCCAGCGAGAAGCTCGATAGGGGCACACATTAGCGAATTGGCCGGCGAGCAAGGAGGGGGGGGGGGACGGCCGAAAGGAAAAAGGGACGCTCAGACGCCGAGAATTCGACGATGAGCAGCCAGGGGGGCAGCAGCAGCCAGGCGCGCAGGGCCAGAGCGCGGTGGACGGCCGTGGCGAACCACGGTGGCAAGGGTGACGGGAGGACACGCGCGCACACACACTAACGCACATGCACACACCCACAATTTTGGCGTCGCGGCCACTCGCGCAGCGACGCGAGGGAGGCAGTCGCAGACACGAACGCGCAAATACAGACACACTGAGAGACACACACACACACACACACACACACACAGTTTTGGCCTCGAGGCCACGCGCACGGCGGCGCGGCGTAGAACGAATCGGAGGAGGAGGCGGCACACTCACTCACACACACACACACAAACGCACTTCCGTTCCCCATACCCTCTCGGCTGGGCTAGATTTGGCTCGTGCATGTCCCCGTACAAGCGATTTTCGACGAAATCAAATTTAGAAAAATACACAAAAATTGTTTCAACATCGTCCCCTGACTGGTTTTGACTGTTTCTGAACATTCCTCCTGTAGAGGGGCACGCCCGACTGGAGGCTAGATGCGCGGTCGGGGCAGGAGACCCAAGCGAGCCTCGAGGGCCAACAGCTTCTCGTGCGCCGCGTGCGGGCCCTTCGTCAGCAAGAGCTGGAGGTCCTGCGTGCCGCCCCTCACCCTCACCCCTGCCTGCACCTCCCTCCTGGATTCGGCACGGATGCTCTTCGCCGGGGTTGGCTTTCGCTGGGCTTCGCTTCGCCGGGGTTGGCTTTCGCCGGGGTTGGCGTTCGCCGGGGCGGCGGGCTTCGTTTTGCCTGGGTTGGCTTTCGCGGGGGGGGGGGGCTTTTGCTGGGGTTGGCTTTCGCCGGGCTTCGTTTCGCTGGGGTTGGCTTCCGCCAGGGTTGGGCGCGGGCTCCAACGGGCTGGTCGGGTCGGGCGGGCGGACCCTAACGGGCGGAACGGGTCGGGTCGGATCCGGCGGACCCTAACTGGCGGGTCGGGTCGGGCGGGCGGGGCGCAAAAGTGTGAGGCACGCTCGAGCGAGCACACGTGAAGCCTAACGGGCGGGTCGGGTCGGGCAGGCGGACCCTAACGGGCGGGACGGGTCGGGTCTGAAAAATACACCAGCGCCAATGCTGAAATCACTCTCCCAATAATATCAGCATTGTGTTGCATCTCCGAGGGGCCGTATCTGTCCCGTCCTGCGTCGAATTCGTGTCGAATCCGTGTCGAACGCGTCGAGATCTGTGTCGAATCCTAGATGGAATCGTGTCGAATCCGTGTCGAATTCAATTCGAATCCGCGTCGAATCCACGTCAGAATACAAGAAAATACTTTTATGGGACAGGAAAGGTCACCGAAGATGCAAATTAATGAAGTCCAACATCTGTTACACTCCCGAGGCGGCGTGCGTCCTGCAAAGCATGAGACACAGGCATGTTGGAGAACGTCTGCAAATCGTCCGTCAACTTCTGCGTGATGCGCGTGAACCGCTTCTGCTCAAGCGTGGTCACTGTGCCGGAATTCTGGAGACGTGCGGCAATAAGGGCGTGACCAGACCGCGGACGGGGGCGCATGGTTACTGGCAATCTGGATATCAATTAAAATCCGCCGCCTGCGTGCCTGCGCTTCTCTTGTATGTTCCTGGCGCAACCGTCGGGGTCGACAGCCGACCAGGTCCGCCCGCAAGACGGCGGGAGAGGGCCAATTCTGTCTGCTCCCCCTGGAAGACCCTGGGTGATCCGGAAACTCACCCGCCCAGGGAGCATTAGTGGCGAGTCCAAAATCCTCCCCATCTTCCCGCCCGGGGATCTTAGTGGGGGGTCTGGACCCCCCCCCCAACTCGGAAAATAAGTCGGGGGGTTGGAGAAGCCCCCCACGCCCGCCACCCCCTGGCAACGATGACGACGACGACGACGACGCCTGCGACGACGCTGACGACGACGTGACGCCTACGACGACGCCGACGACGACAACGTCGGCGGTGGCGGCGCAACTGTCGCCAGCGCCCACGTCAGGCGCAGGCTATGATAGAATGCTACTCGAGCTCGATCCAGCTCTCTCAATATCCTACTCGGGCCCTACTGTACTCTGCTCTACTCTCCGTTACTCTGCCCTACTCTACTCTACCCTACCCTACCCGACAGCACCCAGATCTACTCTACTCTACTCCACTTTGGTCATACTCTGTCATACTCTACTGTACTGTATTCCTTCTCTACTCTACTCTCTTCTGCTCTACTCGTCTTTACTCTGCCCTACTCTACTCTACACTACTCTACCCTGCCGTGCCTTAACATTATCTGCTCTACTCTGGTGTGCTCTTACTCGTTCATATTCTACCCTGTTCCTACTCTACTCTACTCTACTGTACCCAGGTCTACACTACTGTACTGTACTCTACTCTACTCTACTGTACCCAGCTCTGCACTACTCCACACAAGTTCTGCTCTGCTCTAGCCATCTACTCTGTTCTACTCGACTCTACACTACTCTAATACTATCTTCACCACTCTGGCCTACTTTTCGCTACTCCGCCCTACTCCACTCTCTAGTCTACCCTACCATATCCCACCGTACTCTACTCGACTCTGCCCTATTCTACTCTACTCCTGGTAAACTCTAAGTCTACGCCGACTCTACTCTGCTCGTCGTCTTCTTCGTCGTCGTATCAATCGTCTTCGTCGTCTTCGTCGTCGTCGTCGTCATCGTCGTCATCGACGCCGTCGTCGTCGTCGTCGTCGATGTTGTCGGCGACGTGGTCGTCGTCGCCGTCTTCGACGTCGTCGTCGGCGTCGGCGTCGGTGTTGTCGTCGTGGTCGTCGCCGTCGTCGCGCGCCGTGCGTCTTGCGCCGTGCGTCGTGCGTCGTGGGCGTAGTCGTCGTCGTCGTCGTCGTCGTCGTCGTCGTCGTCGTCGTCGTCTTCGTCGTCGTGTTCGTCGTCTTCGTCGTTGTCATCATCGTCGTCTTCGTCGTCGTCGTCGCCAATGTTGTCGGCGTCGTCGTCGTCGGCGTCGGCGTCCGTCATCGTCGTCGTCGTCGTCGGCGGCGGCGGTGGCGTCGGCCTCGGCGTCGGCGTCGGTGTCGGCGTCGGCATCATTGTCGTCGTCGCCAGGGGGTTGGGGGGGATTCTGGACCCCCCCACTGGATTTTCCCAGGGGGGGGGGGTCCGACACGACCCCCCCTCCCTCCCTGTTTTGGGGGGGCCGCCCGGTGGTGGACCCAACACACCCTGCCAGCAGAGGCAGAAAGTTCGCAAACATTTCACGGATGGAGAGCGTGGTACCTTTTCAAAGTGGCCCTCGCCTCAGCCCCGCGCACATTCGGCTCGAGAGTTTACATCGCTTCCATGAAGGAGCGAGCTCACAACAGAAAGTGTGTTTACAACATTCTTTAACATTAACAACATGTTTCAAAAGAAAGAACGTTTTGGCACGATGTAGGGCAATCAGGGCGCAACGATCACCTTGATTCGCGGTACTGGAGTCCCAGGAATGGTGGTCTGGCACGGTAATGTGATTCGCGGCGTTGAGGTCGCAAGAATGGCGCTCTGGTACGGTTCAGGATGCCCAGACGGTTGCTCTCCAACGCGGAACTCCCCTCAGTGAAACGAATCCCTGCCTTGGACGAGGGAACTTGAAGGGAGGGCGTAGTGCAACCTCGTTGATGGGTCTTGGGTTTACACTCGTCTTCCTCATCCTCCCCAAAATGTTCCCCGAAGGGTTTCCACTACGGCTCGGGGAGCACACCGTCCGATGATGTGTCCAAGCCTTGGACGCAATTTTGGGCTAAATCTGCACTTCCAAAAAGGCAGGGGGCGGCTGTGATTCGCCGTAGGCGCCTTCGATCAACTCTACCATGACATCCCGAAGTCTATGTGATCAGGGCTCCGCCTCGCCCCTATTCTGATGCCGCCTTCGTCCCTCCCCGCGCGGGGCCCCCCCCCCCCCCCCGTGGGCGTGGCGTGGTGGGCCCACCCCTGAGTCCACGGGTGAATGCGCCTGGTGGGGAATGCCAACAAGCTCTGGCTGGTCGCTGCAATCGCAAACTCATGAGTGTTGCCAAAATGTTGCGGGCGTATGGCTGAGATGTTCGCCCAATAATTGGGATCGACGGTTCCAAGCACTTCAACAACTGGAACAATGAATTGTGCAACACATCGAATGCCCAATCTACGTTGCACAAGATAGCGTGCACGACATGGACTGCACCACAGCTTGCACCACATAGCGTGCACCACGTAGCTTGCAACTCAAGAACGCACCCTGCAATAGGTTGGGGCAACCGCTTCTGCAAGTAATTGGGATCGATAGTTTCATATGAATGGTTTGGTATGTCGAACTGTTGTCCCTGCTGCAAAGTGGGCTTCATTTCAGGATCGGCGCATTGCCGTTCGGAAAGAAACTCTCGCCGCAGCTCGTGTCACAATTCTGGGCCCGATTCCTGTCCTGTCATTGCTGCCCCATCCTTTCACCTACTTCGCCGTCCAAAGCTGGTGCCGCTGCTGATGCTACTCCTTCTCCACGTGTGAGGAGGCGCCCTCCCTGATAGTACAGCACACGAAGGGTCAGGTCTTGCGACTACCAGTTGGAGATCAATGTACCTCAGGAAGCCACGTTCGGCGGAGTGAAGAAGAGGATTCACCGCAATGTTGCGGGATGCGTGGGAGGTGCTGGATGTTAGCTGTGGCGGGGATGCTGGCGTGCCCCCGCCATCTCTCCCCGCCCCCCTCCCCTCATCGACCCTCCCCTATCATTGACAAGCAGGGCAAGCAGGTCTCAAGACCTTGCAGGTTCGACTGTGCTCACCTCGTCGAATTCAGCGCAGGGCGGAGAGAACAACCGAGGCCCAGGAAGAAACAGAACATGTGCCTTGCCGAAGGCGTCGAGAGCGGAAATGATCTTCTCTCCGAGGCCAGGAAGCATCGCCCCGAAGCCGCTCAGAACGATCGTCGCACCCCCTGTCCAGACGTCAACGTCGTAGGACACCTCGCTGGAGAGGGGCCAAAGGGGGGGGGGGGGGGCGGAGGGGCAGGACGGAGCAGCGGGCATGACATTTATGGCCTCGTATCCCTCCTTTCCTTCCTCCTCCTCCTCCTCCTCCTCTTCCACTTCCTCCTCCTCCTCAATGGACCTGCTGTCTCCTGGCATGGCGCCACATAGGATGGTGCCCTTCCCTGGTAGATGTCGGCTTCCTGTGCCAACACATGTTCTATTTCTGACCCACTCCAGGTGGGCTAGTTGGCCTGCAGCCTGCACTCGAAGGCTGCACGCCCCCGACCGTGGTGCTCCAGCAGCACCCTTCCAAGAATCTGGAGTCCTGAACCCTGAATCTCCATCATCATCCTCCACCCCATCCATTCAGGCCTTGGAAGAAACAAGCGAACACTCACGCCGCCGCTCTCATCCGTCAATGCCCCCCCACTGATCGATGCTGGCGGTGGGTTGAACGAGCTGCACTTCAACCGCAATCTTCTCCGCGCGTGCCAACTTTGAGCTTGGGGGAGCGGAATGGGGTGTCCACAACTGGTTTCCTTCTATCGGTGGTGGACAAACCCACCCTCTAATGAAAACGGCCTGTGACCGAAACCGACGGACCTGGACCCGCAAACATTGCGGCCGCGACGCCCTCTCGCGAACCGAAAACGGCCAGTTCGCTCGTCGACGTGTCAGGGTAGAAGGTCGATCAACCTCCGATTCTAGCGTTAGGTCGGGCCTGTCCCCCTACAGGGGGATTTCGGACGAACCATCAAGGATGGTCAAAAGATGCCCTAGAATACTCGAAAATGGTCCAAAAATCGCCCCCAGACTATGCTTTGACTCTTTCTGAACATTCCTCCTGCAGAGGGACAGGCCCGACCCCACTCCAGCGTGTGAAGCGCCAGCACAGCCAGACCCGGGCTCGGCAGGCGCGGGCACTGCCGAGCAGGCCGCGCGGGGGGGAGGCGAGCCCCGGCCTCGGCGGCGGGCCTCCGCCACCCGGCACCGTGCGCGCACGGCGCGCTCCTCGCCCTCCTCCTCCTGCTCCCGCCGCTCCTGCTCCCTCCTGCTCCTCCTCCTCCTTTTCCTCCTCCTCCTCCTTTTCCTCCTCCTCCTCCTCCTCCTCCTCCTCCTCCTGGTCCTCCTCCTCTTCCTCCTCCTCCTCCTCCTCCTCCTCCGCCTCCTCCTCCTCTTCCTCCTCCTCCTGCTCCTCGCCTTCTGCTGCCATCCGGCTTGCGCTGGAACGTTCCCCCGTGCCCGAATGTGTAAAGAAACGCTTGGGGTGTCTTGCCCCGTTCTCTCGGGATCGACGTTTTGTGTTCCGCTTTGACAGTCGTCGTCGCCGTCGTCGTCGTCGTCGTCATCGTCGTGGTCGTCTCGCCGTCCTCTCCCTCCTGCTCCTCCTCCTCCTCCTCCTCCTCCTCCTCCTCCTCCTCCTCCTCCTCATCCTCCTCCTCCTCCTCCTCCTCCTCCTCCTCCCCTCTCTTTTTTTGTTCAAGGATGCTCGTTCGCACCGTGTTCGGTTCGGTCACGTGTTGTACTACCGATGGTCCTGGTTGTGGCTCCCATTGTATTCCGTTTCGGCTGGCCGAAAACCGGAAAGCTGAACTCGGTGAAAGATCAGCGCTTTCAACATCAACTAAATGCCTAAGGGTGGCGAGGCGTGCGGGATGGCTGGCTGTCCCCCTACCCATGGGGTCCCAATTACACCGAGTCGTCAACGCACCCTCTGCAGCCCCCCTGGATGGCGCAGGATGAGCCCAACATGTCCTCGTAGATGGCCTGAGCCAGTCCGATCTGGAACTCGGAAAACTTCGCGCGTGTGCGTGCCGTTGCCGAGTTTGGCCTGAGCCGCGTTGAGGAGGCCTGCGAGTGCGTCGCTCAGCTAGGGGCGATGGCCCTCTGTCACAGGCCAGCACTGGCACCGCAGAGGGATCACACCTTCTAGGTACAACTCGTGAGCATGCGTGATGAGGCAGCCGAGGTGGCGGGACAGAGGCCTGGCCATGGCGACATGGCCGCCGCCAGCCTTCTCCCTGGCCTTTGTGTTCGCCTCCCTTCTGGCCCAAAAAGCATGGGCTGGTGCGTTTTCCCCACTCCACACCACGCTGAAGTCCCGAGCAGGGAAGGGATGGCAGCATTGGCCGCACCTATCAGAGACATTGAAGATTAGATTGCTGGCTAATGAACCAGTGAGGGTCCATAGCCTATACAGGGACAACGCCCCTCCCTGCAATACCTCCGAAACTGGCCCAACTAACACTGCTTTTCAGCGCCGGTTCTGGCCCCTGGACGCCTCGAAGACGGCCAGAGACCAAAACGACTGCAAGATGCTCGAAGAGCGGGCAAGGAGGGGCGAGATGCTTCACCAAGGCTTCAATGTCTTCAAACTGGAGATTCAGCAGGCCCCGTGATGTCCTCTCAAAACACACCCACGGAGGCCTCTCGTGAGAACCTGGCAGGCTAAAAACAATGAAACGCCACGTGCGTGTTGCTTCCAAGAATTTCGGACTGCGGATCGATCAGAGGGAATTTCCAGGAGCCCCAGGAAACACTCAAGACCAAAGGCCTCCCAGGTGGGGTCGGAATATGTGGGATCGGAGAATCGCGGTACATCGCCGATCGGCGACGCCGTCGTGAAGAAACTCAAGCTCCACATCGCGCCGCATCGCCTGAATCGTCAATACGAAGCGATCCTCCGACCCCATCTACTCCGATCTACTACGGCCCCATCTGGGAGGCCTAGACCCAGGAAGATTTCAAGACAGCCGAAAGCAGCTCAAGAATCCCCCAAGGCGGTCCAAGAAGGCCCCCAAAAGGCCCAAAGACCCGTCCGTCCAAGACGCCTCCATGATGGCTCTACCAAATCTCTTCGGGAAAAAGCTCGGCAAGCCAATCACGCTCAAAACAGCTCTGGGACCCTGGACGGGTCTTCAAAGGGGACACAAAAGAGATCCCGAAGACGCCCTTAGTTTCGTCAAAAATTACTCCTGGATGAATGAACAGGGAAAGATCGAGGCTGCGGACCAGGGGTATTGGCGGCCCGCGCCACCTCAGGCAAAGCACTGGACTGGCTCGAGCCTCAAACTCGAGCTCCTTACTGCTGCCGCGGATGCGATCGCGCGGTGCCAGGGTTCGCAGTGCTCAGCAGCAGTCTGAAGTGCAGAAGCACGATGGGCAAATTCTCCACCTCCACTACCATACAGTCGGGCTGCTGAAATAAGGAACGCTAAATAAGGAACGAAGCCCCTCTGTGGCTTCAAAAAAGCCTGGGTGCACGAGAAGGGCTAGAGGAACAACCGCGGAAGGACGTAAGGAACATCGAGCCCCTTCCGAATCCAGACTGTTCCTTATTCCAGCGTCTTGGCTGTATGTAGGACGGGGAGAGGGGAGGATGAGGAAGTCCTCGAAACGTGTGTCAGCGCGGCGAGGGCAGGCCAAGCCATCGCGCGCGCCATCTTTCCACGAGCGGCGCCGAGTGGCACCGCGGGCGAAGCGCACGACGGTGCCCCAGAGCGCACCGAGCCCCGCAGGAGCGGAGGCCAGATTCCGCGGCTGCACCTCGGGCCAGAGGCGTCCTCGCGCGAAGGGGAGAGCGGATAGGGAGGGAAGAGGGGGACACAGACATATCAGTCATGCGCGCATGTACACCTGTGTGCGCATATAAACTTACACCAAAGGAAAGCCCCAATCACTGGATGGTTTGATCGATACATCAAAAGATCGACCGGGAACCCTGGAACCGGGGACCGATGACCAAGAACCCGGGAACCCAGAACCGGGAACCCAGCCGACCACCCAGATCGGCAGGAAACTTTCGCCAAATCGTTCAATTTCCGCTAGGACCCCTTCAATGCAAGCACTGATTGGGGACACAGACATATCGGTCATGCGTGTATGTACACCCGTGAGCGCATATAAAAAATACCCGTATTGATATGTGCTGCAGCAAATACAGACGGGGCGCTGACGAGGGAACCCTTTTCGTTGGGGAGGGGCTCGGTGCTCCTTGATTGTTTTACAGTTTGCCTCAGGTGTTCCTGAGGTGTCCCATGAGAGATCGAAGTTTAACTAATCGGAACAGGGTGCCTCGCTCCTTCTGTAAGGTTCCTTGGGTCAACGCCCCGACGGTATCGGTCATGCGTGTGTGTGTGTACACACGTGTGCCCATATCAAAAAACACCCGTATGGATGTGCGCTGCTGCTGATGACAGCTACTGCTTACTGCTGCGGGCACTCGGATGAGCTCCCCGTCGAAGACGATGTACTGACCGAAGCCCGCAAAACGACGGAGGTGCGAGCGACCCCGCAGCAGCAGCAAACTTCTTCGCGAAATCCTTCCGGCAGTCCAGAGGTCGAGATGCATACCATCTGCAGAAGCGGCGATATGGAGGGGGAGTGAGGCAAGGGAGTGACGGCGCGAGCGAAGGAGGGGATGCGGGAGGGTGGAGGAGCAGCAGCGAGGGGATCCCCCCCCCAAGGAGCACGGCACCCCGGTCATCGTGAGATCGAAGAGCTTGGGAGCCAGGTCCTCGAGCAGAAGCCTGCTGAAGACGCCTGGGCTCGCGCTCCCTTCCCCACGACGACGGCAGAAAGAAGACGGCAGACCGGACAGACATGCAGTCCGGAATTCTTCACGCTTCGCGTAGCCCCACCAGCACCCCTTCTGGCATCGAGGACGGCAATGACTGGGTAACCTACTGCCGCACCGCCAACCCATAGATCTGGCAACCCCACGGGACAGGGGGCCGTCAGTGCCGCCCCTCAGGGGCACCCACTTTGGACGACAGGGACTGGTGGCTGAAACAACCCACCTCCAGCGCTCCACCATTCAATAGCATATGGTACGACAGCAGGTGGGGGTCGCCTACCGTATCCAGCGGCCTCTGGCTTCCCCCTTTCACCTCACCATTCCAGGTCTCTGCGGCTCATGGCTGCGCCCCCCTCCGACACTTCCGTGCGGCTCTTGGTTGGGTCCCCCCATTCTGATCGCCGAGGTCGATCCGGCCGCCGCGACGGCGACTGGGCTGACACCCAGCGCCGGGTTGGATTCGCTCCCCCCTCCTTCTCCTTTCCTCCGCTCTCCATTCACCAGTTTCTGCGGCTCTGGGCCGCGCCCCCAACAAAGTGTGCCTCGGTTGAGGATGTGCCAGTGCCTTGGCCCGGTCCAAGCGTGGAGGCCCAGGGCACGGCGGTCGTGCCAACGGTACTAGGTTGCACCCCCCACGTTCATTCACAAGTCTCCTGCGGCTCTTGGCTGCGCCCCCAGCTCTGTGAAGGGACATCATCACAGGGGAGCTGACAATTTCAGCCACTCTGACGGGTCACACACTTCGGGGATGGACAGACCTCCCTTTAGTAAAACGTGGTTTAGTGAAAACGACCTCGGGCCCAAACCTGGCGGGCGCAAGCCTGGAAAATGACGGCCGCGGCGCTCTCTCGAGAACCGAAAACGGACAATTCACTAATCGACGTGTCAGGGTAGGAGGTCTGTCCATCCCCGAACACTGGCCTGGAATCTGGCCTCCGGCCGTGCCAGCGGACAGGTGGGTGCTCATCTCGACGCACAGAAGCCTGCCTGCGCCAGACACCACGGCGGTGATCCCCCCAGACTCTCTGGACGGATTTGACGTGGTGCATCGGTTGGTCGCCAGCTGAACACGCTGTCGTGAGGACGCGTGGGTGTGGCATCAACCCCTTCCCTTGGTCACCGCCACAGCGGCTAGCAAAGCCACCCCCACCTGAGGGTCGCCCTGATCCACATGGTACGTCTCAGGGCGCTACAAGGGCTTGGCTTCGCGTATGGTGAAGACTGGCGCACCCTACCCGCTTCTGGTACTACCCGACGTCGGGCCTGGCATGGGCGAATTCCTACACAAGTGGTTCATCCTTTGGCAGGTCATCGCGGATCCCCCGGCTGGCCCTTCGTGCAGGTGCCTCGGTCAGCGCTTGCAACTTTGTGCCCCCGATCTTCCGTGTCGGTTAAGTTGCACGCTGTGGACACAGGCGGGAATTGACGGTACGTTCGCTGACTGGGTATCTTTCGCTCTCGCGTTCAAGAGCGGCAGACCCGACGTCTGCGACAGTGAGTCACACCGCGAATGAGGCCCCCCTCTGTGCTGCTCCCCTTTTTCCTGCCGCTGGGTGCCCGTCTGGCGTCCGCTGCGTTTCTCCTGTTCCCTCTTGCATCGCCTTCTGTGTGTCTTGGCCGGAGCTTTAGCCGCCCCGTGCTGCTACAGTACGGTCCGTGCTCCGCGCCTTTTCTTGGTGTGTGGTTCGGCTGGAATTTGGCGCCGTAAGGGCGACTGCTCCTTTCCGTCCGCCGCCGGTGCCGCGCTTGCGTCCCCATCCGCTGGGATGCCTGCGACGGTCCCCCAATGAGGGTCACTTTGTCCCTGGCATGTGCACTCGCTACAGCGGCCTACGTGTCTCTGCAGCCAATTATCTCGCTCTGTGGCCCAGTCGTTCATCCCGCTCACTGGATCTGTCCTTCGAGCCGCCGACCAAAAAGTAGCCCCAACAGCCTTTGGGTGCTCGTGGTTCAGCCTGGGCATTCCTCCGTGGCTGCACCACGCTGCCGCGACCTCGGCTGTTGCGTTTGCGTCCGCCCTCCTGCCGTCTTGGGTCGGCATTGCAAAGCGCGTCCCTGGACGCGCTGCCCAGGCGTCGGTACGTACGGGGGTCGGCTTGTGCTGGCCAGCCGTCTTGCCTGCCTATGTTCGGTTCGCGCCAGTCGCCTGCTCTGGTTGGCCGAACTCGGACTGCGCCCCTCTCATTCGGGGCTTGGGTGTTCAACTTTGCTGGCGCCAACACCCGCACCCGTCAGACCTTGGCTGGCATCTTGGGCCTTCCCTGAGGTGCTTTACCGTGGTCGCGCCGCGGTGTTTCCGCGCGCCATTTTGGCTGCGCCTCAGCTTTGGCTGGCCAACTCACGCACACAACTTGCCTCGTGGAGGCTTCGTCCCACCTGGCTCTGGCCACCCTGGTACTTTGTAGTCCTTAGGGTGCTCACCCTTTGCATCCAATTCAGCTGTTTGCAGACCCTGGCAGTCGGCCCCCCTGGCATCAGCCTCTCTGCAGTTCGTTGCATGCGTGCAACCCCTGGCAGTGCAGCTTCCCTTGCAGCCGCCGCCAACACCCCTCCACTCGCCGGCCTTGCCGCCGAGGTGCCGCGTGAGGCTCTGGCCCACCGCTTTAGGTTAATTCGTCTTTGCGCGGCCCGCTCTGACTCAACTCGCCGCTGGCGCGCTCGCCTGCGGTCGCTGACAAAAAGTAGCCCCACCAGCCTCACGGTGCTGTTTGCCTGACTCACACCTATGGTCGCGCCGCCGCGCCATTATGGCTGCGCTTACTTGCTGGTCGCTACCGGGATTTCCAACGCCACGAGGTTTGGGAGTATCGGTTCTGGCTCTCCTTCTGAGTGGCTGCCCACTTGCTCGCTTCGTTTGCCATTCTTTTCCTGCTGCCTAGTCGCGGCCCGACTAGTGTTCGGACGGCTTTCGGCCCGCCTCGCGAGCCTGTTGACCAAAGAGTAGCCCCACCAGCCCATCCTAAAACAGCAACTGTTGCGAAGCATACCGACTGTCGTTGTTTTCGGGCGTACCTCCTCCTGCCCTCGCATATACCCACTTGTTCCTCCTACATCCCACCTGCTCCCTTTTAGCTCTTCCTTGTGGGAAGAGTGGGTGGGGGGACGAGGAGGAGGAGGAAGAAGAGAAGGCGGTGGAAGGCGATAGGGAGACAGCGGCGTCGACAACGACGACGGCGATGACCACAGCATCAACGACGACGACGGCGACGGCGACGACGTCGACGACGACGACGACCGCGACGACGACGACGAAGACGACGACGACAACGACGTTGACGACCCCACCTGCTCTATTTTAGCTCTTCCTTGTGGGAGGAGTGGGAGCAGGACAGGGCGGAAGAGGATGAAGAAGAGAAAGTTTCAGAAAGTCGGTGGGAGACGAGGGGGAGATAGCGGCGACGACGGCGATGACCACAACAACGACGACGAAGACGACAACGACGACCACGACGACAGACAACGGCGACGGCGACGGCGACGGCGACGACGACGACGACGACGACCGCGACGACGCCGACGCCGACGCCGACGCCGACGACGACGACGAGTCAACCATCAATGCCTTTTCTGGGCCTTTCTTTCTGAGAGCCCCTCGGAGGCATCTTGGGGCTATTCAAGGGCCTTCTTGGGAATATATTGGAGGTCCCTGAGCCCTTTTGGGGTCCCCGTGGTGCCTCTTGGGGCACCCTTGGCATGACGACGAAGACGCGAGTAGCATGTAGGTGACGACGATGACGAAGACGCGAGTAGCATGTAGGTGGCGACGACGACGAAGACGCGACGGGATGTGGAAGACGTTCCTGACGCCGAAGACGACGACGACGACGCGAATAGCATGTAGGTGGCGATCTGCCCCCTGCGCCTGTGTACACCACGACGCTCGCGTGCACCACAGCGCGCGTGCACACCACAGCGCCTGCGTACATCGCAACAACCGTGTGCAACGCAGCGCCTGTGTACACTGCAGTTCTTGCGTACACTATAGCGCCGGTGTACATGTGCACACCGGAAGCAACCATGTGCAACACAGCGCCAATGTACACCACAATGCTTGCGTTCACCGCGGCGCCTGTGCACGCCACGGCGCCTGTCTACACCACAGCATCCGCGTGCAACGCAGCGTTATTGAATACATCACTGTGCCTGCGTGCATAGGACAGGTAGAAGGAGCCTGTACGTGAGGATCTGCTGCGGAAGCGCCGCGCCAGGAAAGTGTTGATAATTGAATGCGACGTTTTCCCTTTCCCCTTTTCCTCCACTTCCACCTCCTCCTCTTCCTCCTCCTCCTCCTCCTTTTTTCTCCTCCTCCTCCTCATCCTCCTCTTCCTCCTCCTCCTCCTCCTCCTCCTCACCCCCTGTCGTGCGGATTGGCGCTACACCGCACGTACGCAACTCAGCGTGCACCGCAGCATGGTCTATTGAATCGACCCACTTGGTTCTCGGACGGCCAATTTAGCTGGAGCCCCCAGGACGCAGATGGGAGGAGTTACGGTGATGCGGAGGAACTCGGAAGGACTCGTAGATTCCTCTGGCGCTCTTTTGTCCATACGTATTAATGTCTGGTGTTTTCGGCGGAATCCACAAACGCTCCATTTTGTTATAATGACTTGTTCTAACATACTACATAAAACAGTGGTGCTGTGCTGCACACGGTTGCTGTGGTGCAAACAATCGCCGTGGTGTACACAGGCACTGCAATGCACGCAGGCATTGTGGTGTACACTGCTGTTGGTGTACAGAAGAACTGTTGTGCCCGCGCTGTGTTGCACAAACTGACGCTGTGTTGCACGCGGCTGCTGTGGTGTACATAGGCGGTGTGGTGTACACAGGCGCTGTGGTGCACGCAGGCAGTGAGGTGTACACAAGCGTTGTGGTGCAGATCGCCACCTACATGCTGGTGCCACCCTTCCTCCGTCATTCCTAGCGTTCCCAGGCGCCGCCGGCGCGAAGCGTGACGTCATCGACCACCCCCCACCCCCACCAGATGATCGCCACCATCGGCCCGGAATAAAAAAACAGGCTCCAGCCGCGTCCGCGCGCACGACGACGATGAGCGACGAGCGACGAGCGACGAGCGACGAGCGACGACGACGACGACGACGACGACGACGACGACGACGACGACGACGACGACGACGACGACGACTGCGGACCAGACTCCTATGCGGATTCCTGCGCGGACACCTAAGCGGATCCCAATACGCACGGCGGCAGTGCCTGGAGCGCACTGGGGGGGGGAGCGTTACGTCATAGGGGGGGGGGTGGGGGGGCGGCGGGGGCCATGACGCCCGTCATGCCCCAAGCAATAAAGAAATGGTCATTTGACACGGGGGGAGGAGAGGCTGGGACGGGGAGGCAGGAGTGAGAGGAGGGAGGAAGGAGAGCAGGAGGAAGGAGTGCACGCCGGGCGCTGTCACTTCAAAACGAAGACCGCACACCACAAAATGATTGGGATAATCTACGTGTCCGCGTCCCGAGCTTCCAAGGCGGTCCAGACATGCAACCAAAGACACCAAGATGGCTCAAGGTACCTCGAAGACGGCCAAAGATGGCCCCAAGGCGGCCCAATATGGCTGCAAGGCGGCCCAAGATGCCTCCAAGAGGGCCACGCGCGGACCTACAATAGGGTCCGCAGAAACCAAATCCGCGAATGTCCTGTGGTTGTGGATTGAGTTTCGCATTCTCGCCTTTCCGGGCTTCCGCCAGCTCCAGACGGCCCGATAAAGCCTCCTCGATGGTCCGAAGACGGCCCAAGAGGCCCCCAAGAGGGCCCCAAGATGGCCCAAGAGGCCCCAAGATAGCCCACGAGGCATCCAAAACGGCCCCCAAGACGGCCAAAGAGGGCCTCCCGTATGACGCAAGCCGGCCTTATAACACCTTGCGACGGCCCAAGACGGCCCCACGACGGCACCAACCATACGACCAAGAGAGCCCCAAGACGGCCCCAGCGAGGCCCTAGACGGCGTAAGAGTGCCCTGGGACGGCGCAAGAGGGCCCCAAGGGACCCCAACGACTGCCCCACAGGAAGCCAAGACACCGCAAAGACGGCCCAAACGAGTTCCATGAGAGCTCTTCAAATAGTGAAGACTGGTGTCGCATGTGACGACCTTACTCTTCCTCCTCCTGCGTTTCCTTCTCCTCCTTCTCCTTATCATCATTATCATCATCACCACCCTTTCAGACGCATCATCCTGATCCTCGTCAGCAGCATAAACAGCATCCTCATCATCAACATCAACATCAGCATCAGCATCAGCATCAGCACCAGTGTCATCATCATCACCATCATCATCATCATCATCATCACCATCATCATCATCATCATCATCATCATCATCATCATCACCACCACCACCACCACCACCACCACCACCATCATCATCATCATCATCATCATCATCATCATCATCAATGATATCATTATCATCGTCGTAGTCGGCATGGCCATCATCACCAAACTCATCATCACTATCATAATCATGCTCATCGTCGTCGGCATTATCATCAACATCATCGCCACCATTACCACCACCACCACCGTTGTCGTCGTCTTGGTTATCGTCGTCGTCGTGGTTGTCGTCGTCTTTGTCGTCGTCGTCCTCGTCATCGTCATCATCACCATCGCCATTGGGCTGGCACGGTGGCGGGACTTGCCGCAGGCAGCCAGATCCCTCACCGGGCCTGGAGGATGCACAGCGGGCACCGCGGCCGTTCCAGGAGCGTCCCGGCACGCTCCGCGAGCGCTCCAGAATCGCTCTGGAATTACGTCCGGCACGTCCTATACTCGAAAGTGGAAAAAATAAACAAACAGATGCAACAATAGTTAAACATTGTCGAAAAATCGTGCCTTGAATATTCCTCCTGTAGAGGGACACGCCCGACTTAATTCTGGAACTGTGCTTCTGTGCCTCGCCCCGCCCGTCCCTGCCCGCCCCGCCACCTCGAGCGACGCGGGGGCGCAGCTCGGAGAAACACGGCCCAAGGCCTCCGACGTCTTCGGTGGCAACCAACGGGAGCCTCCCATACTGTCTTGCCGGCTCTTGCGGATCGACTCTGCTCGATGCTAGTCGACGCTACATCGATGCATCCGTGGATCTGGCGCGTGGGCGCCAGATCCACGGATCGAGTGCCGCGTGATGTGGCGACGGGGCGCGTCGATGTGGATGGAGGCGGGACCCGCCGCGGATCGCCACGCCTTGATCCATGCTTGTGCTTCCTCGACAATACGTGGGGTGCAAACAGCCGTCGATCGCAATCCGTGCGAGAAATTCCACCGTCCATCTCGCATTTCGCAACGCAGCGTCCGGTTGACCACCACGGGCTCTGGGTCCTCTTCTGCTTGCTCTTCCCTTCCATCCTCCCCCTCCCCTCGCCCTCTCCTTACAGATTCCCCTCCTCCTCCTTCCCCCCCTTCGCCCTCGCCCTCCTATGTACTCTTCCTTGTTTCCCCACCCCCTCGTTTGCCCCCCTCTCTCCATCCTCCGCCTCCTCCTCCTCCTCCTCCTCATCATCATCATCATCATCAAGTCCTTCTCCTTATGACTAACTTCTCCCTGTCGCACTCCGAGGCTATCTTAGGGCGGGCCGGGCGTTTCGCCTGAGACTTCCCCACAAATCAAACATTGACAGCAGTTTCACAGATGGAGGGCGGGTGGTTTTCAACATGTGGCTCTCGCCTGGGCGCCGCGCACATTCGTTTTCAAAAGGTGCAACAGTTTCACGGATCGAGGGCGGGTCGTTTTCAAAATGTGGCTCTCGCCTGGGCGCCGCGCACATTCGTTTTGAAAAGTTGCAAGAGTTTCACGGTCGAGGGCGGGTCGTTGTCAAAATGTGGCTCTCGCCTGGGCGCCGCGCACATTCGTTCCCAAACATTGCAAGAATTTCACGGCTTGAGGGCGGGCCGTTTTCAAATTGTGGCTCTCGCATTAGCGTCACGGATTTGAGGGCGGCTCCTTTCCAATATGTGGCTCTCGCATTAGCTCCGCGCACATGTGTGTTAGGAAATTACAAGAGTTTCGCGGAATCCCATGATCGTCGTACAAGAAACGGCGTTCTGGAAGGATTCATGAGTATGCGGGCGCAAGGGTCATGATGATTCGTGGTGTTGTCAAGACGCAACAGTCAGGCTTACCCGTGGCGTTGGGGTACCGAGAACATTAGTTTGGCATGCTTCAAGGTCTTCAATCGGTTGTCTCCCAACGAGGCAGGTACCTCTGTGGAAATGAATCACTGTAAGGGCATGTGAAGGGAGCTTGGGGGGAAGGTGACTCTTGGGTTTACATTGGTCATCCTCCTCCTCCTCCGCCTACATGCACCGAGAAGGAACAGGTCAAGAAGACCACACATCCCCCTGCATCCTTCACTTCCTCCTACTCCTCCTCTTTCTCCTCCTCTGGCTCTGCCTACCGTCCTCTCATCCTCCTTCCCTATGTTTCATCCTGCTGCTGCTCATCTCCCCGATCCGTGGCGAGCATGCTATACATTGCCTGCCTGTCCCGACCCTGCGCGAACATCCTGCCCAGAAAGAACACGTTCGAGAAGAGACGCTATGTGATGCCCATGGCCTATGCGCATCACGTCCACGGGAGAGGGGTCTGGCTCGTCGGGAAGCTTCAGGGGACGCATGACGAGCTTCACCATCACTTCGGGAGACGTCGTCATCCAGCCACTCCTGTACCTGGCAGAACGGGGAGGCCTGCACAAGGCACGCTTCGCTGTGCGCAGCTCGGCAACACCACTCAGCTTCGCCGCGCACGGCGTGCAGCGCCCCAATCTCCTGCCACGCAGCCTGCCATGCCAACGACCAGGCGTCTCGCCTGTCACTCAGTGGGCATGGCTTTGGCGTTATGCTTCGTTGAGACAGAAGGACATCCCGCGTTTGACCCCTACCACATCAAAAACGTTCGCATTCGGAGGGTGATATGGACGAAACAATGAAACATTAGACACGGATGTAATCTCAAATTCCAGTGTAGCTACGAATACGGGTTGAGCTGATCAGCCAACTCGCACGACCTCAAATGCCCCTCGCGACATAAAAATGAAGGCTGGCACCACTGGGAATTGGAACTCGAGCGCCCCCTCGTCTCGTGTCTCGTGCAAGATGTTCGCGCGCGCCCGGCCCCGACTTTGACGACCTTGCGACGTGAGAACTCACTAGAGGCCTCCTAGATGGGGTCCGGGTAGATGGATCGAAGGATCACGCCGCATCGCAAATGCATCGCCAATGCAACGGCGATGCATCGGCAAAGTCGGCGATGCATCGGCGGGGTCGGCGTGGGGAAGCACGGTCTCCACATCGAGCCCCATCGCCGATGCATCGGCGATGCGGCGCGTCCCTCCGACCGTATCTTTAGGTCGGGCGTGTACCCCTACAGGCGGATTTTGGACGAAAAACAAGTGGCACCTGTGCCATGGCTCTTGCACAGAAAGGAAGGGGGAGGAGGAGGAGGTGGAGGAGGAGGGGGGAATATGGGGGCAAGACATCGCCCCTCGGGGCCTAGCAACGGGGCCCAAATCCCAGGTGGGGAAGGGTGTGTGTGTGTGTGTGCGTCGACGCGGAATAAAATACTCGGAGCGGGGGGGGCACGGGGCGGAGGTCCCACTGGGGCGCTGGGGGCGCGGAGAGAAGGGGGGGGAGGTGGTGTGCGTCGCGACGCGGAATAAAATGGTCAGGGCGGGGGGGCATTGGGCGCGGCTTGGGGCAGAGGGCCACGGGGCGGGGATCCAACTGGTGCGCTGGGGACGGGTGCAGGAGGGGGGGAGGTGGTGTGCGCCGCGACGCGGAAAAACATTGTCGGGGCGGAGGGGGCACGGGGCGGAGCCCCCACTGGGGCGCTGGGGGAACGATGGGGTGGTGGAGGCGGTGCGCGTCGCGACGCGGAATAAAGCGTTCGTGGCGGAGGGGGCAGTGGGCGGTGCTCCCGCTGGGGCGCTGGGGACGCGACGGTGAGGGGGGGGGGGGGGGGCGACGCGGAATAAAGCGTTCGTGGCGGAGGGGGCAGTGGGCGGGGCTCCCGCTGGGGCGCTGGGGACGCGGGGGGGCTCGGGGCAGAGAGCCACGGCGCGGGGGTCCCACTCTGGCGCTGGGGACGCGGGGGGGGGGGGTGCGACGCGGAATAAAGCGTTCGTGGCGGAGGGGGCAGTGGGCGGGGCTCCCGCTGGGGCGCTGGGGACGCGGGGGGGCTCGGGGCAGAGAGCCACGGCGCGGGGGTCCCACTCTGGCGCTGGGAACGCGGTGGGGAGGGGGGGGGGGCGATGCGGAACAAGTGGCACGTGTGCCAAGGGAAGGGGGGGGAGGAGGAGGAGGAGGAGAGGAGGAGGAGGAGGAGGAGGAGGAGGAGGAGGAGGAGAGGAGGAGGAGGAGGATGGAGGAGGAGGAGGAGGAGGAGGAGGAGGAGAGGAGGAGGAGGAGGAGGAGGAGGAGGAGGAGGAGGCCAGCTTGACAGGAAGAGAAGGAGGAGGCGGCGGAGACGACGGCAACCACACCTACGCCACGACGACACGACCTCCGCCCTCCGTCCGCCCTCTGTCCCCCGTCCCCCGTTCCCGTCCCTTCCTTCCCCATTCTGGGCCGCACGTACAGGTTTGTTTCCATTCCCCCCCCCCCGGTTTGGGTCAGGGGCCGTTGCCCGCAGACCGTGGGGGTGTACAGTCGTTTCAAGGTTGGACGGCGCCCTCACACGCCTGACCCCGGTGGCCATCCATCCTAAAAAGGGATGGGTGCCGGGGTCGCGGTTGCAGGATGAGGAAGGGAGAGGGGGCAAAACATCGCCCCTCGTTGCCCAGCAACGGGGCCCAAATCCCAGGTGGAGAGAGGGGGGAGGTGGCGTGCGTCGCGACGCGGAATAAACTGCTCGGAGCGGAGAATGCACGGGGCGGAGGTCCCATTGGGGCGCTGGGGGCGGATAGAAGGAGGGGGGAGGCGGTGTGCGTCGCGACGCTGAATAATATGGTCGGGGCGGAGGGGGCATTGGGCGGGGCGGGGCAGAGGGCCACGGGGCGGTGGTCCAACTAGGGCGCTGGGGGCGGGGGCGGTCGCGACGCGGAATAACACTGTCGGGGCGGAGGGGGCACGGGGCGGAGCCCCCACTGGGGCGCTGGGGACGCGGGGAGGGAGGTGGGGGAGGTGGTGCGCGTCGCGACGCGGAATAAAGCGTTCGCGGCGGAGGGGGCAGTGGGCGGGGCTCCCGCTGGGGCGCTGGGGGCGCGGGGGGCTCGGGGCAGAGAGCCACGGCGCGGGGGTCCCACTCTGGCGCTGGGGACGCGGGGGGGGGCGTGCGACGCGGAATAAAGCGTTCGTGGCGGAGGGGGCAGTGGGCGGGGCCCCCGCTGGGGCGCTGGGGACGCGGGGAGGCTCGGGGCAGAGAGCCACGGCGCGGGGGTCCCACTCTGGCGCTGGGGACGCGGGGGGAGGGGGGGTGCGACGCGGAATAAAGCGTTCGTGGCGGTGGGGGCAGTGGGCGGGGCCCCGCTGGGGCGCTGGGGACGACCACGGCGCGGGGTCCCAGGCGCTGGGACGTGGGGGGCGGGGCGCTGGGGACGCGGGGGGGGGTCGGGGCAGAGAGCCACGGCGCGGGGGCGGACCACTCGGCGTGGGGACGCGGCAGGGAGGGGGGGCGTGCGACGCGGAATAAAGCGTTCGTGGCGGAGGGGCAGTGGGCGGGGCCCCCGCTGGGGCGCTGGGGACGCGGGGAGGCTCGGGGCAGAGAGCCACGGCGCGGGGGTCCCACTCTGGCGCTGGGGACGCGGCAGGGAGGGGGGGGTGCGACGCGGAATAAAGCGTTCGCGGCGGAGGGGGCAGTGGGCGGGGCGCCCGCTGGAGCGTTGGGGACGCGGGGAGGCTCGGGGCAGAGAGCCACGGTGCGGGGGTCCCACTCTGGTGCTTGGGACGCGGGGAGGGGGGGGGGGGGGGGCGACGCGGAATAAAGCGTTCGTGACGGAGGGGGCGGTGGGCGGGGCTCCCGCTGGGGCGCTGGGGCGGGGGAGCTCGGGGCAGAGAGGCGGATTTTGGACGAAACATAAGAAATAATCAAACAATGTTCAAAAATCGTCCCCGTACTATTTTTTGACTATTCTTGAACTCTCGTCTTGTAGAGGGACACGGCGACGCCCGACTTCAGCCTAGGCAGCGGCACAGCTCGGCCCACGCGCGGGGGTGGCCACGGGTCCCCGACCGCAGGAGGCGAGAGCGAGACCTGCACCGCACCCGGGGCGGGGCTGCCGCAACCCTGGCGCAAGCTGCGGATGCGCCGGTGCAGCAGGAGGAGGAGGAGAAGGAGGAGGAGGAGGAGGAGGCGGAGGAGGAGGAAGAGGAGAAGGAGGAGGAGGAGGAGGGGGAGGAGGAGGTGGCGGCACCCACGTCGCCCGCCTGCGCGCGACCCCGCCACTGGCGGGCGAGAGCTGCGCTTCCTTTCGGACGCGGTATCTCGCCCCTGCGCGCGCGGCTTCCCGCTGCCGACGAACGGGCGGGCGGAAGCTGCGCCGCGCCCAGGCGGGCTCGCGCCCGACCCCGCTGCCGACGGAGTCACGAGCAAAATCCGCCGACCCTGTCGGCGTGTGTGGGGTCTGTCCGGCCCCGTCGACGGGGAGCCTTCTTTCGTCCCCTCCTTCCCATCCTCCTCTCCCGTCGGGGGAGAGAGAGAGAGAGAGAGAGAGAAATAGAGAGAGAGAGAGAGAGAGAGAGAGAGAACACCCTGCCTCGTTCGGGGAACGGGTTCGCAGCTCGAGGGAATTCCATCCCCGTCCTCATTACGTCAAAAGGAAGCGCTGCGCCCGCGCGGGAGCGCCGCGTCAAGGCGTATTCTGGGCGGCGCTTGGGCGATAGAGATTCCCGCTCGCAACCGCGCTGCCGACGAAAGAGCGAGCTCACAAGAAATGTACGATGCGCTGGCGCGAGAGCGACGTGTCGCCGATTCGCGCGCGATGCGCGCCTGTTCCCATTCCCGCCACGGGGGCAAAACTTCGGCTTCGCATTGGGTCGGTTGGCTAAGTGGCAGAGTCGGCACATGGTGATACGGGGTAACGATTCTGAGTAAGAGCCAGGATCGGGAGGTGGAGCGAAAGAGCAGGTCCCAGACCCGCTGCCAGCCTCTTTCCCGCAGCATTGAAATCGACTCCAGCACAAACCACCATTGCCAGCCTGGAGTGCGAATCCACACGCGAAGCGGAAATGACGTGGGACGCGATTGCCCACTCAGGGAGACGATCTGTACCAATCTGCGCGCTGCCGAGGGGAGGTCGGGTGTGTCGCCCTACAGGCGGAACTTGGTCGAAAAACAATAAATACCCAAATCTATGGGGAAGAAACTACACAGATAATCAAAACATCGTCCCCTGACTACTTTTTGACTAGTTTTGGGTAGTCCTCCTGTAGAGGGACAGGCCCGACTTAATGCTGAGGCGATGTGCGCCTCTCCCCGCCCCTTTCGCGCAGCACAGCATGGGCCACGCCCACAGAACAAGCACGATGAAGGGCGGAACGCTGGGCGTTGAGCGATATACCGTGCGGGCGCGGTCGCAAGAAGCCCTCGCAGGAAACCCAACCCTGGAAACCCGCGCGCGAGGTGCACCTGACAAGGGAATGCAGAGCTACGAGTAGGGAGCGCCACCAGCAGAAAGGCGCGAGGGTCTCCGAGAGGCCCCGTCTCCCTCCGAGACGGCTGGCCCTCCCGCCCCCCCGCCCAGGCGCGCCGCCGACCTGCACTCCCACTCCGTGCTTTCTCTTGCTAGCACAAGAGAGATCCATTTGGGCGTTGCTTAATGGGGGGGTCACAAATGGGGGGGTCAGAAAAGGTCCCCTTTCGTGCCCCTTTCGGGCCCCTCTGGAGCCCCAGGGGGCTCGTTTAGGTACCGTTTGGGTACCTTTTCGGACCACCCTCGCCACCCCCCCATTTATGACCCCCCCATTACGCAACGCCCAATCCATCCGAAGCGCGTGCACGCCGGCCCCCTCTGTGCAACAAGAACGACGCGACGAACTGGTGGCTCCATGCCCGGCCCGCCAGCCCGCCCATCCGACAGGCAGTGACAGCTTGAAAAGGGCGCCATGCATCGTACGCAGGGCGCAGGGAGCTGGCGTCGCTGCTCGTGGCATTGTCGGTGGCGTTCGTGACGTTATCGGTGGCGTTCACCTGGACCCCTCCTTCTCATCATCGTCCTGATCCCGCTCCTCCTCCTCCTCCTCCTCCTCCTCCTTTCTCCTTTCTCCTCCTCCTCCTCCTCCTCCTCCTCCTCCTCCTCATCATCATCATCATCATCATCATCATCCTCATCCTCATCCTCATCCTCATCCTCATCCTCATCCTCATCCTCATCCTCATCCTCATCCTCATCATCATCATCATCATCATCATCATCATCATCATCATCATCATCATCATCATCATCATCATCATCATCAGCATCATCATACACTCCTCATTGTTCTCCCCTCCGCCTCCTCCTGCTCCACTTCCTTCTACTAGTCCTTCTCGTCCTGCTCCCCGTCAGTTTCTTCCTTCCTACTCCTCCTCCTCCTCCTCCTGCTCCTCCTCCCCGCCCCCATTGTCCCTTCTCACTCCGCCCTCCTCCCTCATCATCTCTGCTGCTCCTGCCTCATCCTTCACCCATCATGTCCTCCCACCTCCGCTATCCCCCTTGAGCTCATTTTTATTTGTTTCTCGAAGGCACCCGTGACCAACCCCGGCACCCCACCCATACCCCCATCCTGGTCACGTCACGATTCGCGCCGGCGCCACCTGCAAATTGGAATTGCAAGACGGCGCCCCAGGGGGAAAAAAGCAGGCTCCTTCATCCACCGCATTCACCTGCAGCCACCGTGGCTCGCTTCGCGAGTCATGCGCCTGAGCCTTCGGTGGCAACTGATGGGAGCCTCCCATACCATCCAGGTGGCTCTTGCGAATCGACACTGATCGACACTACATCGACGCTAATCGCCGCTAAATCGACGCTAACCACTCTAACCGACGCTAAATCGGCGCTATCTCATCGACTCCAAGACGCTAATCGGCTAGTCGACGCGAAAAACGACGGAATTAAGAGGGTATACCAAGCTCCCATGATTTGCTACCAAACATAACCCCTGCCACTGACCCTCACCAGCACCTACCCATAGACACGGCCACCGGCCTTCACCAGCACCTGCCACTGGCCGCCGCTCACATGGCGGACGGCTTTTCCGTCGTCCGCCTCCCCTGGACCTTGCCGTCAGCCCCGACCAGCATCGCGATTCGCTGCAACTGATATTCGGGCCTGGTCAACCCCCTTCACCCAGACCCCGCCAACAGGCCCCCACCAATACAACGCAGGTAAGGGAGCGCATAGACGGGAAACGAGGTTCCCAAGAGGGCCCCAAGCCGTTCCAAGATGGCCAAGAGTCGGACCAAAGACGGCCCCAATACGCCCTTCAGACGGCCCAAGATCTTGGGGCTTTTTGGCAGCCAAGATCTTGGGGCTTCTTGGCAGCCTCTTGCAAGAGGCTGCCAAGACGCCCAAAGAGGACAACAAGAGGACCCTCAAGAGGCAAAGATCGTTGACTTTCAGCGCGCTCGCGCGCTCTCGAGCTTCAGGGATTCCCAGACGGCACAAAAGGCCCCCCAAGCTTCACCCTGAGACGGCCCAAGCGAGTCCCAAGATGGAACAAGAGCGCCCCAAGACGGCCCGAGAGGCCCCCAAGTTGGCCCGAGAGGCTCCCAAGAGGAAACCAAGATAGGCTCAGGAGGGGGAACGCGAAAGGGCATCGGGAGCGCGTCTGTCCGAGATGACCCCCGATATCCCCAACATGCCCCAGAGAGCCCCCCCCCAGGTCACTGCACCGACCTTGCGCAAAACGACGTGAATTTGACGTGGATTGTTTTCAATCTTCATTCCTGGCCCCCGAGGGCCCATCCTATTGGTTTCCGCTGTTGGCGCCTCCAGGCGGAACCCTCCCGAGAGGCCCCCCAGAGCAGAGAGGCTCCCCCCAAAAGCATCCGAGAGGCCGCCCGCCCTCTTCAGCCTGGGCACGGCGGCGGGTGGGGCCGAGGGCAGTCAGACCTGCTTGGCACGGGGGACGAGAAGCGCAACTTACTCTGTGACGGCGCGAATCCTCCGCCTCCTCCTCCCTCCTCCCTCCTTCCTTCTCCTCCTCCTCCTCCTCCTTCCTGCTTAGCACGGGGACGGAAAGCGCAACTTACTCCGTGATGGCGCGAGATCGGTGGCTTGTCCGCTGGTCCTCCTCTTGCACCCTCGCTTCCCCTCGCCCTCGTCGCATCCTTAGGGGGAATATATTAGCCCTCGTGGGCCAGCGTGGGGAGACTCTCGGAATGTCTTCGGGCCCTCTTGAGCCATCTTGACCCGAATGCCCGCTTCAAACCTCATGGCCATTGAGACCGTGTGACTGTTTTCATCGGCATGGCCGTTTACACCCGCCTGGCCATATTAACACGCCTGGCAAGTTTAACCGGCCTGGCCGTTCTAATCCGCCTGGAGGTTCAACCTGGTTGGCCGTTTGAGCCCACCAAACCATGTTAGCCTGCCCAACCATTTCAACCCGCCAAGCCTTTTCAAACCGCCTGGGCGGCTGAACCAGTTGCGCGTTCTGACCTGGATGTCCGCTTCGAACCGCACGGCCATTTAGACCGCGTGACTGCGCTCATCGAAACGGCAATATTCACTCACATTGCCGCGCTGGCAACTTTAGCGATTTTAATCAGTTTGGCCGCATTAGCCCGCATAGCCGTTCTGAGTCGCCTGGCCTTTTGAAATCACGTGGCCGCGGTAACAATCCCGACAGTTCGAACCTGCCTGGGCGTTTGAGCCCGAGACCGATACCAAGAAGACGTCGACAACATAACATGTTGATGAGGATATACATGCAACGTTTCTGTGCAAGAACGATGTCGATTAAGTCTCACGTGTGTGAGGATGCCACTAACGAACTCGCCATGTGGGACACGACCGAGACCGAGACGAAGTCGACAACATTTCTTGTGTGTGAGGATGTCAGTGCCGACATCACCATTGTGAGCAAGAACGACGTCGACAACATCTGTCGCGGCATTGCAATTTTGGGCGGCTGAAGTGAGGCGTGTTGGAGCAGCCCTGTTGGGCGATGCTGGGCCGTCTTGGGGCCGTCCGAGAGCGATCCAACGACATCTCAATTGTTTGATGATGTCCCGAACGAAATCGCCATTTTGGACATGGGCCTGCGCGGAAACGGAAAGAGCGCTTCAGGAACTGGCCCGCGATGGCTCATGACACCTTTCGCTCTTGGGAGCCTTGGTGTTCAGCGCTCGTTACTTCACCGCTCTCTGTTGGGGGCCCTGGTGTTCAGAGACTTTTACGTTGCCGCTCGCTCTTGGGAGCCTTGCTATTCAGGATATTTACGTCACCGCGCTCTGGGGAGCCGTGGTGTTCGGAGCTGGTTACGTCACAGCTCGCTCTGGGGAGCCCTGGTGGTACGTGGCGTCTCTGAGGCTTCTTGGGTGTCTGTTGGGGAGGCCTCTGGGTGCCCGTTTGGGCAATCTTCGGTCTTTGTTGGGCCGTCTCGGGGCCCTTTTGGGCCGTCTTGGGGCGTCTTGGAGGCCTGAGGGCCATCTTGGGAGCCTCTTTGGGCCCTCTTGGGGCTCTCTTGGGGGAATCCTGCGGCCCTCTTGCGCCGTTTTGGTGCCCTCGGGTGCCGTCTCGGGGCCCTCTTGGACCGTTGTCGCGTGGGCCGTCTGGGGACGATCTTTGGAGCCTCTTCGACCGTTTTTGGGCCGCTCTTGGACCGAAAAGGCGAAAACCCCAACAACTAGCCAAAAACTGTCAAAAAGGCTTTTTGCCCCTGTGGGCCCTCTTGGGACGCCTCTGGAAGGCCTCTTCGGGCGTCTCGGGGCCCTCTTGGGTGGTCTTGGAGGCCTTCGGCCGTCTTGGAGCTGTCCTTGGGGCCTCTTGGGGCCCTCTTGGGAGCCTCTTTGGGCCCTCTCGGGGCTCTCTTGGGGGAATCCTGCGGCCCTCTTGCGCCGTTTTGGTGCCCTCGGGTGCCGTCTCGGGGCCCTCTTGGACCGTTGTCGCGTGGGCCGTCTGGGGACGATCTTTGGAGCCTCTTCGACCGTTTTTGGGCCGCTCTTGGACCGAAAAGGCGAAAACCCCAACAACTAGCCAAAAACTGTCAAAAAGGCTTTTTGCCCCTGTGGGCCCTCTTGGGACGCCTCTGGAAGGCCTCTTCGGGCGTCTCGGGGCCCTCTTGGGTGGTCTTGGAGGCCTTCGGCCGTCTTGGAGCTGTCCTTGGGGCCTCTTGGGGCCCTCTTGGGAGCCTCTTTGGGCCCTCTCGGGGCTCTCTTGGGGCCTTCTTGGGCCGTCTTAGGGGCCTTGAACCGCTTCACACCAAAACATATAAGGGATCGGGCCATCGGTGCCGCCCTGGCGCTGGAGCAGCTTCACTTGAAAAATACCAGGGAAGCTGGCCATTACACTTTTCGCCTGCGCTTCGCCCCTCCCGTCGTACCAATCGCACCAATCCCTCCCTCTTCGCTTGAGAGATTTCAACGGCACCAATCGCTCTTGAGAGCCTTGCTGTGAAGAGCTTGTCACGGCACCATGTGCTGTAAGGGGTCGTGGTGTTCAGACCTTGTTACGTTACCGCTCGCTGTTGGAACCTTTGTGTTCAAAGTTGTTTACGTCAACGATCGCTCTGAGGAACCCTGGTGTTATGAGCTTGCCACGTCAATGTGAGCTCTTGGGAGCCTCTGATATTTGGTGTCTCCAAGCCTTCTTGGGGTCCTGTTGGGCCCCAGCTAGACCCTCTTGGGGCCGTCTTGGGGCTCTCTGGGGCCGTTTGGGGGCAGGGTTTTGAGCCGACTTGGGGCATCTTGGAAGGCTTTGGCTGTCGCAGGGCTTTCCTTTGGGCCTCTCCGGGCCCTCTTGTCACTGCACCGATATTGCAGACGTGCTGCAGCGGATTTTTGCGTGGATTTCTGCCACTGCAACCCCCCAAACGGCGAGTGAAAAAACGACGTGAATTTCGCGTGGATGTGATCTAAAATCCACACGAAATTCACCTCGAATTCCGGAACGAAATTCTCCAGGACACTCCGGGCCCATCCTATATCCCATCCGACCGTCTTCCGAACGAAATCCGCTCTGCGATGTTGGCGCCATGACTCTTGGGAGCCTCATGGGGCCCTCTTGGGGCTCTCGTGGGAGCCTCTGAGAGAGCCGTCTTGGGCCGTCTTGGGCCGTCTGGGGGCATTATTTTGAGCCGTCTTGAGGCATCTTGGAAGGCTTTGGCTGTCGCAGGGCTTTTCTTTTCTCCGGGCCCTCTTGTCACTGCACCGATCTTGCAGACGTGCTGCAGCGGATTTTGCGTGGATTTCTGCCACTGCAACCCCCGAAACGACGAGTGAAAAACGACGCGAATTTCGCGTGGATGTTATAATTTAGTCTTCATTCCTAGCCAGACAAAAATCCACACGAAATTCACCTCGAATTCCGGAACGAAATTCTCCAGGAAACTCCGGGCCTATCCTATATCCCATCCGATCGTCTTCCGAACGAAATCCGCTCTGCGATGTTGGCGCCATGACTCTTGGGAGCCTCATGGGGCCCTCTTGGGGCTCTCGTGGGAACCTCTGAGAGCCGTCTTGGGCCATCTTGGGGCTCTCTGAGGCCGTCTTGGGGCAGGACTTTGAGCCGTCTTGGGGCCCTCTGGGAGGCCTGTTGGGCGGTTTGGGGACGATCTTGGGGGCCTTTTGGACCTTCTTTAGCCGTCGGGTGCCGGAAACGGCGGATAGCATAAAAACCTGCAAAACCCGTAGGACAATCAGACTCCTCAGGCCTTCTCGGGGGTTCTCTTGGGAAGCTCTTAGGCCGTCGTCGGAGAGCCTCGGGCCGTCTTGAAGGGCTGGAGTTGGCAGGGTGCCCTCTTGGGGCCGTCTTGGGTCCTCTCCGCGGCCTCCTGTGCCACTCGTGGGCTCTCTCTCGGGAACCTTTTCGGGCCCTGACGGGCCTCTCTTGGACCGTCTTCGGGCGCTCTTGGGCCGTCTTGGAGCCTTCTTGGGCCGTCTTGGGACTGTCTTCGGGCCGTCTCGGGGGCCTCGAGTGACGTCTTGGGGCGATCCTGGGGGCCTGTTCGGCCGTCGTGGGCGCCGTGGAGACCAAAGAAGCAGACATGCTGAACATGCACATGTTCCCACACGGATGGGACGAGGTTTGCCTCTTGGGCGTCCTTCTGGAGGCCTTTTGAAACGTTCTGAGGGCCTCTTGGGCCCGGGCCGTCTTAGGGCCCTCCTGGGCCTCCCCGAGGCCGTCGTGGAGGTAGGGTCAACCCGCATGGTAAGGATGCGCGATAAGGATGCAAGGGCCTTGGACGCCCATTTCGAAGCTTGTCGAGCGGGCCGCGGCCAATGAAAGCGGTCAAGGGTGGGCCGAGAAGGCAAGGATGCAAGGGTACCCTTGGGAAGGTTGCCCATCCTTACTACGCGGGTTGACTGTAGCGCGGGCGCTCTCGGGGCTGTCTTGGGGCCCTCTGGGGCGCTCCCTCGGGGCTGCCTTGGGCCGCCTGGGGCGGAACCTGTCCTGGGCCTGGCCAGGCCGACCCTCCCACGAAAGGGGCCCTGGGTCACGCATCCCAGGCTTCCCGCTGTGTTCCTATATTTTCTGGGTTCTCGACTTCCCCTCCACTTCCAATGTTTTCCCATATCTTCTCAGGAGTCGACGATCAGTTGTGTCTGTGTGCTTTCATCCCCTCCTGACTCACACTCCCCAATGTTATGTCTCCAGGCTAATGGATCGCGACGCTACGTCAGGTTCGCGTCGTGCCGACTTCGGCGTTGGTTTCTGACACCGCGGGGATCGTTCAACCCTGAACGATCGGCCGCTTCCGAAACGTCCAAGTCGGTTCCACATCGAATGATTCTGGTCGCCCGCGGCGTTCGACATTGAACGCCGGCGGATAGGTCGCCGCTGGTCGACACGACACGCACCCACCGTAACGGATCGCGACGCTACGCGCGCTTCCCGTCATCTCTGGGAGTAAGGCTGCCAACCCCCTCAAACTCAACCTAAATTCATTTATTCTGGCTCCCGGGTCGAACGCTGGGCGCTCGTCCCGTCATCCACCGCCTCCCGTTGCTTGCAACTTGGGTGGTGTTTGCATGCCGAGTGAGGTTTAACTTATTGAACGCTTCCAACAAATTCCAAAAGGGTCTCGGCCCAAGGTGCAAGACACCCAGAGGAACCGCAAAGTACCTTCCCTGGCCGCCAAGACGCCCAATCTGGTCCCCAGGATGGCTTCCAAAACGGCCAACTTGGCCCAAGATGGCCTGAAAGACGGTCCCAAGACGCCTTCAAGACGGCCAAGATAACCCCAAGAGGGCCCAAGATGCCACCAAGACGGCCCAACATTACTCCAAGTCTGCTCAAGATGGCCTCCAGACGGCCTACGTAAGAGGATCCCAAGAAGGCCCAACCAGAAGGCAAGCATCCTGGATTGCCCTAAGGTTGTTGAAAAGCCTTCGCAGTCTTGCCTCTTCGGGCTTCCGACAACCCACGACGCCCCCAGAGGCGTCAAATGTAGCCCCGAGACGGGCCAAGAAGCCCTTCACAGATCTCCAACACGACCCAAGACGTCCCCACAGACATCCAAAATCGTCGAGAATCGCTCCACGAGGGCCCCCAAGATGGGCCAGCTCCCAAACACCGCTTCAGAGGGCTAGGAGACGCTCGAAGGCACCCAGAAAGCCTCCAAGCGGTTCCAGGTTGGCTGCATAAGCTTTTCCAGAAAGGCAGGGTGCGTGGGTGGTCATCCGTAGGCGAATGATACATGGCACAAGACGTAGTCGAATACTTGCAAACTGCCACTCATGCCAACACATGCGAATTGACATGCGAAACCCAACTGCGTAGACCTTGCAAGAATCCGCCCAGAATTGCCCTGTCCAACACATGTGCAGGATGCGCCCACTTCCAATCGTCTGAGAAACTGAAATGCGTCGAGCAGGACGCGTAAGAATGCGAAGAATCCTGCCCCATCCATTCACCGTCTCATTCCCAGCGATGCGCTCCAGACTAGGGTCAGCCTGGGAGCCACAAACAGCATGACCAACCATGCAATGGTGAGATCAACTGCCGAAGACAACACACACATACTGGTGAGGCAGCTTTTCTGCGGGTGGGGCCGGGATGAAACCAGCAAGCGCCCGTTGACACAAAGGCTTCGACACACGTTCTTGCAACTTGTATTCTCATCACGGGCGTCAAGCCGGAGGACCAGAAAAGGCGTGGGAGGGACGAGCACAGGAGGCGAACAGGGCAAAGAGGGAGAGGACTACTAGAAGATACGGCGGAAAAAAGGCGTGGAGGAAACTGGCTCCGAGAAAATCCCGAGACACTGGCTCACAAACTAAGGTTAGGTTGGACATGTCCCCCTACAGGCGGATTTTGGGCGAACGCTCAAAAAATCCGCCGATCCGGCGTGTGAGTTACAAGGAGTCTCAGCTACAGCCTCGAGGCTGAGCCTCAGCCTCCGGGGGGGTTGCCGGGGTGGCTCTGCCGGGGAAGGGGGGGTGGGGAGGGGGGGTGCGAGTTTCCGGCGGATGCGTTTTTTGTACACCCCTCACAAGGATCGTGGCCTCCGAGGGGGTTCCGAACTCGAGTGCCACCCCTCCCGCACCAAGAGGCTCCGAAGAAGCCTCCAAGAGGCCCCAAGGGGCCCAGAAGAGGCCCCCAAGAAGCCCCAAGAGACTCCCAAGAGACCCAAGAGGCCCCCAAGTGGCCCCAAGAGGCCCAAGAGGCCCCCAAGAAGCCCCAAGAGGCCTCCAAGAGGCCCCCAGAGGTCCCGACCAACCACGATATCCCAACCAGCGTCCATGAGGCCTCTGACCCACCACCCACGCACGGTGGTGGGATAGGCCGAAGGCCACTGGATAAATGCGGAATGAAAGGGGGAAGGAAGGGAAAAGAGAGGAGGGACGAGGGAGAAGGAGGATCACATCAGTCGGAGCGCCCCGGATCGGCGGCACTGGCCGAAGGCCACTACATTACAAGAAAATTGCACCCAAATGCTCAATAATACTTAAAACATAATTCCCAGACTATTTTTGTTGCTATTTTAGAATTTTCCCCCTGTAGAGGGACAGGCCCGACTTCAGCTCCGTAGACGCGCTGACGGCAATGTAGGTAACGGCGATGAAGGTTTCGTCATTGTAGGTGGGACTGGTGCGTAGCCAAACTTCTGTAGCTCCCATCGCGCTTCTTAAAGACCACACCGCAGAAATAATTTCGAGCACCAGGAACAGTGTCGAGAGAGTGTCGAAAGAGTGTCGAAACAATGTCGGACGAGTGTCCCCCAGGGCCCGACACGTAAAAACACTAGAGTTTCGGTACTTCTTTGGTGCTCGAATTTGTTTCTCGTGACCAAGGCTAAAGTAGGTTGGAACACCTTTAGGCCAAACCAATTGTAGGACATCGTGGTTCGCGCTTGCATAAAATTCGCTGCGCCAGTTTTTCGGTCGATGCATTCGCGCATCTGAAATGTAGGAAAGTGTGGCTCGTGATTTTCTACACGATTTGTTGTGCGCGAGCTCGGTGTCACAAACATCAGATTACCAACATGACCGTTAACCAACATCGCCGTTAGCGTGGCCTTGGCTGCTCAGGGGGGGAAGCATCGACCAGGAATCGGCGATACATCGCCTGGACATCAGCGATAGGCCCCCGAGGACGAGTCCGCATGTTCCTGGGCGCGGTGGGCCATCGGGCCCCTGTCGGACGACCAGTGGGCGATCGCGGGCCGACGCGTTCGCCCACGAGTCACGAGAGCGGAAAGAGCCACTGCCACCAGAGCTCCAGAGAACTCTGGTGGGCTTGTGTTCCACCACCACCACCACCACCATTAGTAGGAAGGGGAGGGGGTCCTCCTCCTCCTCCTCCTCCTCCTCCTCCTCCTCTTCTTCTTCCTCCTCCACATCCTCAACCCCTTTCCTCCTCCAACTTCTGGCGGTGGTGGAAAACAGGCCCATCGAACTCCGTTCCCAGAAGCCACCCCCCCGACCTGGTGGCACTCCGTTCGGGGCAATCTCTGAGGGGAGCGCGCCCAGCACGGGGCGCCACCAGTAGGGGAACAAAAAGTGGCAAAAACATAAAAACTCGGAGGTCCGCGCGGACCTCCGAGTTGTTATGTTTATGTCACTTTTCGTTCCCCTAACAAGCTCGGGGATGGGGTAGCGGCCAGGCCCCCCCCCAGCTGGTGGTGGTGGTTCCTTCTCCTCTGGGGAGTGAGGTTGCCCCCCCGAACGTCGCAGGGCTGAACCTAAACGGTGTTTTTCGTGTTCGTTTTGTTTTCGTTTTCCTCGCTCTTGTCTCGAACCCACCCTCACCTCAAAACGAAATCGAAACGAAAACGGCCCACGAGATCGCCAGAAGCACAGTTCGGGTCCAGCCCTGCGATGCCAGAACCGGAATCGGCACGCCAAGCCGAAGCGGGCCGGAGGGGCCGAGACCGGGGGGGGGGCCCCGCCGCCCCTCGGCCTGCCGGGGGGGCCGAGCACCCGCCCGCGCGCCGCCCGGGAGGACGGGCGGCGGCCGGGAATCGAGCCCGCGAGCCCGGCGGGCGGGGGCGGGCGGCAGGGGCGAAGCGGAAGGGGGCAGGGGAGAGCGGGGGGGGGGGGGAGAGGAGGGGGCGAAGCGGCTGGAGCGGGAAGCACGGGAGGGAGGGGAAGAGATGGGGCTCGCGGGAGGGGGGGTCGGAAACGGGAGGAGGGAGAGGAGGGGCTGCAGGGGATGGGCGGGGATGGGGACGGGGGATGAGGGGGGGCGGGAAGGGGGGGGGGGATGGGAGGAGGGGTCCAGGAAGGGGCGAAGGGGATGGGATGGGGAGGGAGAGGACGGAGGGGGGCGGGGAAGGGAAGGGACGAAAAGGGGCGGGAGGGGAAGGCGGGGGTGGGAGAGGAGTGAGAGGAGAAGAAGAAAAGCGCAGCTGGCGAGTAGAGGAGCAGAGGGAGGCACCGGCGTGGGACGTCAAAGCTCGCGGGGCGAAGGCGGGGCGACTCGGCGCGCAGGGCGTTGGCGATCAATGGGGACGAAACCCGCACCTTTCGTGCCGTTTTGGGGGCCCCAGGTGGCCCTTCTGGGGCGCGACAGGCGCGCCGTTCTTCTCCCCGTCATTCATCGCCCACCCATTGCGCGGCGCCCGACGGGGGCCAGCGTCAGGGTAGGCCAAGACAATCTGCCAGGTTGCACCCGGGGGGAAGGGGACCCGCACCTTCCTTCCCAAGTGCGGGTCAGGCGGATACGGGGAACGAGGACGGCCAACCCGCTGTGAAGAAGGGGGAGGAAGGGCCCAAAATCCCACGGCGGCGGGGGCACACCTGACGAGCGCGCGAAGCCGAGCGCCCAGGGCCTCGAGCAGTTGCCTGGCCGAGCGGAGACGTCCTGACCTGCGATGGTGAAAAGCCGTAGCCAAAAAATCTGCAGCAACAGCGCAATCACAAGTGGAATCTGTATTCACGGCGTGCCAGCGATCGGGGGGATGCTATTCAAAGTGTCCTGGCCCGTCGGGGGGGAGCGCGCGGGGGAGGGGACGCACGACATAAACAGTGTGAGGGCAGCAGACGCAGCGTGGAAAAAGAATCCCCTTCCACGGCCTGGAACCCCCAACCGCGGGTCCCAAGACCTCGGCGACACCTGCGGGCGGCGGGCCAACGATGGAACTTTCAAACCAGCGAGATCAAGGAAAAGGGGGGCACGGGCACCCGCGACACTGAATCTCAGAACACAGCGATCAACCACTTGATGAGATACCTCAGACGGCCCATATCTTCGCCGCGTAGCGATCCAGGGGTGACCGCTAGGGGTAGGTTACGAATATCCTTGCATTTGCACGCACGAGTTCGGAGAGCACGAGAGGAAACATCGGAGGGACTGCCAAGAAGAACGAGAAAACTATCCCGAGCTTCAAGCAGTTGGCCGAGAGCAAAGTGAGGATCGTGAGGGTTAGCCAGGCACGCAAGGGATACTCTATTTGAATTCCACTGCTCGTGGTGCCACTCGTGGCACTTGTCAACAACTGGCGGTGAGGATGCAACGCGCACCTGCGTCGAACGAGAGGCCAAATCAAAATCTCTTGAACGCGCGGGGAAGTGGGGCGCGCCCGATTTCGCCAGCACGGCAGGGGGAAAATAATGGCGAGGAGCACTGGTGCGCAGTTGATGACAATCCTCGACGATGGACTTGGCCTGGTTATGGGAAAGACGAATTTGGGCCACATGGCCGATTGCAGAGAGAGAGAGAGAGAGAGCATATCTGTTCCAGGCGGACACGGAATGGACAAAACTGAGCCCCTGACTTTTGACGACGTGGCCCGTCTGCGTGAGCTTGGCCAGGGGGGCGCTCGCGACTTTCGTCTGCCTCCCAGACCGCTGTAGACCCCTAGGTACTTGCCATACTTCTCGAACTGATGAACAAGCGCGTTGAGTGCATGTTCTGGGAGCAGAGTCTGGGGACTGCGTCGTTGCACTTGGATTTGTTGAGTGCCAAGCCTGTCGCAAAGTCAGCGCGCTAGAGACATTGCACAAGGCCTGGGAGCAACGCAGAAACATTGCGCGCTACGAGGAAAAGGTCGTCGGCAAAAACACATTACACCATATCCTGATAACTCTCCCGGGCCTGCATCGCTTTCAGGACGGGTTGAGCATCAGCGCAAACAAAAATCCAACGAGGGGGGCGCCCCTGCGTTACGCCCCACCGGGCCCAGAAATCAGCGAGGGAAGAGTTCCCAATTCCGATGTCGGTCCAGGCCCCAAGGTATTGCGCAATGAAATAACCCCTCGATTCACCCTGGGATAGTCATCTTCATGGGGGGCGCAAAAACCGATCACTGCGAGGCGCTCGGGAAGGCGTTCACGAAGCCAGAAAGGCTGCAGCCAGACTCAGGACGCGCGAGGGCGTGCGCCCAGGAGAGGAGAGCCGCATCCATGTCGATGATGTTGTCGAGCATCGAGCGACCCCCGATGATTCCCCGCTGGCACGGCGCGACGATGTCCGCAGCGACGAGAAGAGTGCTGTCCGATCTGGAGAGCGACAGCAAGCGGGTTTGACAGGGGTCCCTAACCTCAACAACGCAGTCCTTGAAGGTCGCCCTTCGGCGGGAAGGCCGCGCGGAAACTGTTAAGCTCCGCGCTCGCGCGATGCTCATTCACCAAACGCTGGAAATTTGTGCACGGGAGAGTGCGGGCCAAGCCAGGAACAGGGCGCCGCGCCGAGTGGGGAATGCCATAAGGAAAATGGGCCGTGCCATTTTAACGGGCGATGAGACTGAGCATCTGGTCGCAGCTCGCCACCCAGTGAGTCCGCTTGGTGCGAAGAAGACACGCGCATGTCACATTGCTCCCCGTTCGGCAGGACGCGCAAGAAGAAATAGACAGTGCCGTCAGCCTTCACATGTGCCTCTGACTCGGCGTCGAATACTTTGCCCCAAAACCTACCGAGCAACTGCGTCATCTGGGCGGGGCCAGACCCTCTTCATCCTCATCCTCCTCCTCCTCCTCGTCCTCCTCCTCCTCCTCCTCCGCCTCTGCCTCCGCGTCCACCTCCGCCTCCGCCTCTGCCTCTGCCGTCGCCTCTGCCTTCTCCGCCTACTCCTCCTCCTCGCTCCTCGCTCCTTCTCCCCCGCCGCCTCTTCCTCCGCCGCCTCCTCCCTCGTCAAAATCCGCCGGCCCCCTTGTGGGGCCACCAGGCTGTAGGGCGAAGGTTCGCAGGTTCCTGTACCAGTTGCAGCTTCCAGTTTCCACTGTTACAGTTATTCTTCTTGCTGCTTACTGTTCCCTGTTGATGGACCGCGCGAGGGGGGGAGGAACGGGCAGGTTTAGCACGCCCTGAGCGTGTGCTCTGAATTGCTTGGGGGGGTAAAAATTGACACCCCTCACGCAGATCGGCGGGGTCAGGGTTCAAAAACACAAGCTTGCCACATTTCTGAAATTCGGTGGCACCCCTCACGCAGATCGGCGGGGTCAGGGTCCAAAAACACATGGGATTTGCCACATTTCTGAAATTTGCTGGCACCCCTCATGCAGATTGGCGGGGTCAGGGTCCAAAAACAACTTGCAACATTTTGTTTAATTCGGTGGCACCCCTCACGCAGATCGGCAGGGTCACGACGTCTTACCAATCGCCATGTGTGGTAACCCCTGTGGTCATCTTTTGGTTTTGCTCATGACGAGTCGGCTTCGCATGAAGTTCCGATACTGCTGCACGACAGCGCCCAGGCCTCATGACATAGCTCTTGCATAGCGCATTCTCCGAGAGAGGGGGCCGGCGGCAGGGGGCGAAGCCCCTACGGATTACCCTGGCGACGTACCCAACCCCTGCGCAAAGCGGGGCAGGAGTAGCTTGGGAGATTTGACAAGGCGGCGACGTGACATGGACGCAATATACTTCTGCGAGCGGCATTAGGGAGGTTCGCAGGTCCCCATCAAGGGAAACACGTCGGCGGGGCAACAACAACATGACATGGCCCCTCGAGGAAGGCGAGGTCCCGTTCAGGTCCGCGCGGTGCCTTACTCCGCTCGACCCACCAGCAGCCCTGGAAAGTGGTGACAGTTTCGCAGATCGCAGCCCCCCAGGGACGCGGAGGCCTCGCTCAGATCCGCGCGGTGCCTCACTCCGCTGGACCCACCAGCAGCCCTCGAAAGTGGCGACAATTTCGCAGATCGCAGCCCCCCAGGGACGCGGAGGTCTCGCTCAGATCCGCGCGGTGCCTCACTCCGCTGGACCCACCAGCAGCCCTCGAAAGTGGCGACAATTTCGCAGATCGCAGCCCCCCAGGGACGCGGAGGTCTCGCTCAGATCCGCGCGGTGCCTCACTCCGCTGGACCCACCAGCAGCCCTCGAAAGTGGCGACAAATTCGCAGATAGCAGCCCCCCAGGTAAGGCAAGAGTAGACAAGAAGGAGGGGGGGGCTGGAGGCGAGAGGCAGGAGGCGGGAGGCGGGAGGAAGGAAGGAAGGAAGGAAGGACGCGTGAGCAGTGCTCTAGTCAAAACGAATACCCAACCAACGAGGGTTGGACAAAACGTCTCCCTGTCGCAGCCAGAAGCCAAAATTTAGGGCGGGCCGGGCATTTCGCCTGAGGCTTTCTCACCATTCATGACGCTGATTTTTCAACATTGACAACCGTTTCACAGATGGAGGGCGGGTGGTGTTCATGTTGTGTCTCTCGCCTGAGCGCCGCGCACATTCGTTGCAAACGGTTACAAGAGCTTCACATATTGAAAGCGAATGGTTTTGGATCTGTTGCTGTCGCCTTAGCGCCGCACACATGCCTTTTTTGAACATTCGTGAGAGATTCACGGATTGAAGGCGGCTCATGTTCAAAATGCGGCTCTCGCCGTAGCGCCGCGTACATTCGTTTTACACGGATGCAAGAGTTTAACGGTTTGAAGGCGATTGGTTTTCAGAACGTGGTCATCGCCTTAGCTCCGCGCAAACTATGTTATAACATTTGAACGAGTTCTTCGGAATCCCATGGTCAACGCACCAGAAATGGTAGCTTCGAAGGGTTCATGATTGTGAGGTGGAGACAGTTACGTTGACTCGCGGTGTTGAAGTCTCACGAAGAACGTTGTGACGCGATTCAGGATCGTCAAGGCGCAACAATCTGGGTGATCCGTGGCGTTAGAATCCCGAGAACAATGTTTTGGCATGCTTCCGAGTCTTCAAACGGTTGTCTCCCGACGAGGCAAATCCCTGCGGAAATGAACCATTGTAGGGCCTATGAAGAGGGAGCTTGGAGGGAGGGCTGGTTCCAATATCGTTGATGACTCTTGGGTTTACACTGGTCCTCCTCCTCATCCTCCTCCTCCTCCTCCTCTCTGCTCTCTCCTCCCTCCTCCCTCCTCCCTCTTCCATCCTCCCTGCTCCCTCCTCCCTCCTCCCTCCCTCCTCCCTCCTCCCGCCTCCCTCCTCCCTCCTCAATCCTCCCTCCTCCCTCCTCCCTCCTCCCTCCTCCTCCCTCCTCCCTCCTCCCTCCTCCCTCCCTCCCCCCTCCTCCTCCCCTCCTCCTCCTCCTCCTCCTCCTCCTCCTCCTCACTTCCTTTTCCTTATAACTAACTTCTCCCTGTCTCACCCCGAGGCCAGTTTTTAGGGCGGGCCGGGCACTTCGCCTGAGACTGCCTCATCATGTGCAACCCTGAAGCTTGACATTGGCAACAGCTTCACAGATGGAGGGCGGGTGGTTTTCAAAATGTAGTTCTCGCCTGAGCGACGCGCACATTCGTTTTCAAACGTGGCAAGAGTTTCCCTGATCGAGGGCGGGTGTTTTTGTCAAAATGTGGCTCTCGCCCTGGCGCCGCGCACATTCGTCAAAAACACTGGCAAGAGTTCAGCGGATTGAAGGCACATGGTGTTCAACATGTGGCTCTCGCCTTAGCCCCGCGCATATTCGTTTACAACATGTGCAAGAGTTTTGCGGATGGAAGGCGAATCCTTTTCGAAGTGTGGCTCTCGCGGATATTTGTATTTTAAGGGCTTCACAGATTCCCATGGCCAAAGTACCAGAAACTATGTGTTGGAAGGACTCATGACTATGAGAGTGCAATACTTACATTGACTCGCAGTGTTGAGGTCCCGGGAGTGGCATTCTGGTACGATTCAGGACGGTCAGGACGCAATAGTCAAGTTGATCCGCTGCGTTGGAATCCCGAGAACCATGGTGTTTCAACGAATGCCTTCCAACGAGGCAGCTCCCTCAACGAAAATGAACCCGTGTACGGCCTATGAAGTGGGAGCATGGAGGGAGGGTTTTACCCCAACATCATTGATGACTCTTGGGTTTACACTGGTCCTCCTCCTCCTCCCTCCTCCTCCTCGCTCCTACTCGCCCCTCGCTCCTCCGAGCCGCAGGAGCCGCAGGAGCCGAGGCGCCCGCCGCCGCAACCGCCTCCGGCGCCGCCGCCTGCGCCCCAGAGTCGACGTCCAGCACCAGCCGCTGCGGGCGTGGCCCGAACAGCGGCTGGGTCCCGACCAGGGTCTGGACCTCGACTTGCGGCTCCTCCTCCTCCTCCTTCTCCTCCTCCTCCACCTTTTCCTTTCCCCCCTCCTCGCTCCTCGCGCCTCGCCCCTCGCTCCTCGCCACTCCTCCTCCTCATCCTCCTCCTCCTCCTCCTCCTCCGCCGCCGCCGCCTCGTCCTCCTTCTGCTCCTCCTCCTCCTCCTCGCTCCTCCTCGTTCAGAGTCCTCGTCCTCTCCTCCTCCACCTCCTCCTCCTCCTCCGCCGCCTCTTCCTCTTTCTGTTCCTCCTTCTCCTCGCTCCTCCTCGTTCAGATTCCTCGTCCTCTCCTCCTCCTCCACCTCCTCCTCCTCTTCCTCCTCATCCTCCTCTTCCCCGTCCTCCTCCTCCTCCGCCGCCTCCTCATGATCCTCATCATCCACCTCCTCTTCGCTCCTCCTTGATCAGATTCTTCATCCTTTTCATGTTCCTCCTCCGCCTCCTCCTCCTTCTTCTCCTCGCTCCTCGCTCCTCGCTCATCGCCCTTCACTCTCCTCCTCCTCATCCTCCTCCTCCTGTTCGTCCTGCTCCTCCTCCTTCTCCTCGCTCCTCTTCCTTTTCCTCCTCCTCCTCCCCCACCTCTTCACCTCCTCCTCCTCATTCCTCCTTGCTTTCCTCCTCGCTCCTCATGCTCGCACCTCCTCTTCATCCCCATCCTTTGTTCGGTTGATCAGGAGGGGCGAGAGGGGGTAGGGGGAACAAAGCCTGCTTCGTGCTTCCACTCCTCCGCCTCCACCTCCTCCTCCGCCGCCTCCTTGCTCCTCGCTCCTCACTCCACCTCCTCATCCTCCTCCACCACCTCCTCCTCCTCCTCCTCCTCCGTTTCCTCCTCCCTCCTCCTCCTTCTCTTCCTCCTCCTCCTCGTTCCTCGCTCCTCGCACCTCCTCCTGCTCCTCCTTCTCCTCAATCTCCTCCTCCGCCGACCGGCCCATCGTAGATCGACGATCTCTCGAGAGACCACGACGGCGACGACGAGGACGAGGACGAAGAAAAATACGAGGTCAAGGACGAAGACAGCGAGGACGAGGACGAGGACGAGGACAGAGACGAAGACGAGGGAGAAGACGAGGATGAAGGTAGCATCAACACGTTGATCAGCACGATTGAGTCGTGTACCACAGGCTCGAGCACCACAGTTGAGCAGTACCACGTTTACCAGCATGTCTGGGTCGAGCACCACAGGCTCGAGCACTACAGAGTCAGGCACTACTGCGTTGACCAATACGACTGAGTCGATTACCACAGGATAGAGCACCACAGATTTTGCAGTACTACTTTGACCAGCATGACTAAGTGGATTACCACAGGTTCGTGCACCACAGAGACAAGCTGTACCACTTGCCCAGCGCGACAGAGTCGAGTACCACAGGTTCGAGCACCGCAGAGTCAAGCATTAACACGTTGACCAGCAAGAATGAGTCGAGAACCACAGGCTCGTGCACCATAGAGTCAAGCAGTGCTACGTTGACCAGCACGACGGAGTCGAGTACCACAGGTTCGTGCACCACAGAGTCAAGCACTACCACGTTGACCAGCACGACTGAGCCGAACACCACAGGTTCAGGCATCACAGAGTCAAGCACTGCACTTGTACCAGCACGACCATGTCGAGTACAACAGGTTCGAGCACGACCATGTCGAGTACCACAGGGCTGTCCGCGGCGAAGAGCGTCCTTGACGACAAGCACTAAGGCGTCAGGACGCAAGTCCTGAGGAAGCCCCGAGTGCGTGGGAACACCTCAGGCAGCGTCGCCAAGTGTTGCAGGAGGCGTTAGGACGCAAGTCCTGGGGAAGCCCCGAATGCGTGGGAACACCCCAGGCACAAGTCGCTACGTTTTGCTGTATGGACGCTGGCAACGATCGTACGTATACAGCTCAGCGGTTACCAGCAGGCCAGACGGTATTCGACCTCTACGACAATCATGCACCACCGACCAACCACCACTCACAACCCATGTACGGCCCACCACACCACTCTACAAGTCAACGCTGCCCTGGTGAGGCATGGATCAAACTTCGAGACGGGCTCGAAGGGTGGGGGGGCAGGACGAGTACTGCCCGCGCCTACCAGGGGGGATGGTGAGGGGCAGGGGGGGGGTAGGACGTCCACTACCTGCGCCCCCGCGGTCCGCCCTAGCTCGCCACCCCCACCATCCCCATGGCGGAGGAGGAGCTACCCGAGCGCCCAATGGGCGAAGCGCAGGGCAGCCGAGACATCCCTCACCGACAGAAGCAAGCACCAGGCCTGGGGTTCGCCCCCACCGAGGGCACTGTGACCCCTAGCCATAGCGGGACGAGGTGGGGCCGCCACGAACCCCACTTGAAGTCGGTGCATGGAGGCCTCATAAGTGCGCCCACAACCAATACCACAACACCAGCAACAAGCCGACCTCCCAGCGACCCACCCACCAGCACGCACGACAAGCAACCACAAGGTCTGGGGCTCCCCCCAACCGACCATCCACTCCACCACCACCACCCGCCAACAACGTCGACCAGCACTGCTGAGTCGAGTACCACAGGATCGAGGACCATTGAGTCAAGCACTACCACGTCAACCAACGCGACTGGGTCGAATACCACAGGTTTGGCACCACAGTGTCATGCAGGACTACGTCGACCATCATGATTGAATCAAGTACCACAGCTCGTGCACCACGGAGTCATGCCGTACCACGTTGACCAGCACGTCTGTGGCGAGCAACATAGTTTCGAGCACCGCAGAGTCAAGCAGCACCACTTTGACCAGCACGACTGGGTCGAGTACCACAGGTTCGCGCACTACAGAGTCAAGCAGTACCACAGGTTCGAGAACTACAGAGTCTAGCAGAGTGAAGAAGGGGCAGCCTGCCCACCGACGTGGGATACACAGCGCAGGGCGCCGAAGGGTGTATCCCCGTCGCCCTCGCGTGGCATGCGAGGTGCCGCGGCCAGCCGGCCAGAGGCGGCAGGAGCTGGCCAGAGCGGCCGCCAGTGCAGGCCAGCTGGAGCCCACGAGCGGCTCGGCGAGCCTCCACAGCGCCCGGCGCCGAAGGGTGGAGGTCGCCAAGGCGGGGGGCAGCCAGCCCCTAGGAGCCGCCCTCCACAGCGGCTGGGCTCAGCGCTCCGCGCCGAAGGGAGCCCAGCCGCCGCCGAGCGGCCAGCCAGGGCCCGGCCCACGAAGAGGCCGATGGCCAGGCCGTGCGCCGTGCCGTGCTGCCTGACGCCCGCGGGCGCGGGCGCGCGCGGCGCCCGCCCAAGGGCCCTGTCGGGCCTCCTTTTTTAAACCCGGCCCCTCTCCCCTCCTCCGAGGTATTTACTGGTCCCTGGTCCTCTCTCTCTTCCTTGGGGTCGGGTTCCCGGGGCTGCCGTCTGAGTGCCCGCACGGCCCTCGTGGGCTGCTGCGGCGCGCTCCGCGCTCCGGGCGCTCGTGGAGACGCTGCTCGGAGCGAGAAACGCAGAAACGCAGGATGAAGGTGAGGACGAGGGCGGCGAGGGCGACAACGGCGACGGCGCCGACGACGAGGGCGATGAGAACGACGACGACGACGACGACGACGACGACGATGATGGCGTCGCCGACTCTGACGTTCACGCCCACGCCGACGACGAAGGCGACGCCGATGAATCGAAGCCGTGGGGTCTCTGGCTTCTTCTCCTCCTCCTCCCTCCCGCCTAAGAAGAATCTGGCGAGGACTCGTAAGGCTATTTGGCCCCATCCGACAATGGGGAAACTAGAGGGTACAGATACCGCTGTTTCCCGGACCTCCCCAAGTTTCGACGCGAATCCAGCGTCGGCGACGAGGTCCTCCCAGGAGGCCCCCATAGGGGAAAACGAGGGAAGGGTAGCGGCATGGGTACCTTTTCTCCCTCTGAGGCAAGAATGACGGCCGAAACTTGGCAGTCCCGAAACGGTGTTGTGACAGACCGCGCGGTGACCTCGAATCCCGAAGAGCCCCACCGCACGATCCGTCACCGCACGATTTCTGGGACCCCAGAGGCCTCAGTCGACGGAGACATCTCCAGAGAACGACCCGAGTCTCATGCTGCCCCCATCGCACTTGAGGACCACATCCTAGAAATAATTTCGACCACCCAGAAAAGAATCGAAGCAGTGTCAAACGAGTATCGCCTCCCAGGGCCCAACACGTGAAAACCCTCCAGTTTCGGTACTTTCCTGGTGTTCGAAATTCTTGCTGGTGATCGAGGCTAAAGTAGGTTGGAACATCATAACCCAAGTTCCAAACACGTGCGGTGACCCCGAATCCCAACTGTTGGCTGGTGGCGCGCACAAGGGCGTAGGGGTAGGGAAGAAGGCATCTTAGAAGGAGGCTGCTTCTTAGAAGGCGCAAGCATAACATCTACTGACAAGGCCCGCGCCTTCTGAGAAGCAGGGGTACTCCTGAGAAGCCTTCCCCCCTCCCCCTACCCCCTTGCGCGTGGCTGACAATGACTCACCACTTGAACATTTGCTTATTCGGCGTTTCGACATTGAGCGAAAGGGGGAGGGAGGGGGGGGGTCTGGCTCCGGACCTCTGCTCAGCGCGACTGCTTGCAACAGCGCGTCCCATGGGGGACACTCCGCCTGCTCTAAAGAGGCGCCAAGAATAGCCAGGATCTACTCCCCGGGGGGGGGGGGTGACACCCGCGCCGATCGGCAAAGTGAATAAGAAAACGATCACCACACCAGCGCTCCTCCGACTGTTCGGCTTCAGGTCGGGGATCTTCTGACCAGGGTCAATCCAGACCCGGGTCAGTCAGACCTTTCAGAATCCTGCACGATCCTGCAAGATCCTGCACCCAAACCCGGGTCAACGCGACGGACCCTGCAAGATCCTGCGGGATCCTGCACCCAAACCCGGGGCAGTGCGACCCTGGCCCTGCAGGATCCTGCGAGATCCTGCGCTCTGGCTGGCCCTGCATTGACCCCCGTCTCGTGAGCCCCGAGCAGGGCTACAGCTCGGGTCTCCGGCGGCCACTCGGGACGATCTGGGCACCACTGCAGCGCTC